GGTGGGGCTGACCAGCTGTATGCAGGGAGGGGTGTCCAGGAGGACCCCCAGCCTCAGGCCTGACCACCCAGGAGGCTGCTCTGGGCTCCAGGGGGTGGTCTGCAGGAGGGGACGAGGGTTTGGCTTTAGACGGGTGCATGCCCGGGTGCCAGGAGACATGTCCCCTCCTTGGGGGCACCATCCAGTCTTGTTCTGCATGGAGCCAAAAGTGGCAAGCGACCCCCAATCTTGCCTGGGCCCCACCAGGCTGGTTGTCCTCCGAGGCAACAGGTTTTGGTGGACACAGCCCCAGTCAGAGGGGGGCAAGGAGAAGGGCCTGGGTGCAGCGGGGATCCCACCTGGACCCACCACCCGGCCAGTCACCGTGCAGAGCAGGAGGGAGGCCCAGGCGGGCACTTGTCTGCCCCAGTTCCAGCCCCCTTCAGCCTGGTGGGCACAGCCCGGCTGTCCTCGGCCACCTCCGCTGTGACAGTGTCCTCCCTGTCCCGTCGGTCACACGGAACCCACACGCGCGAGGCTTGGGCAGGCCTCGTGGCTCAGGCCAGGGTCGACTGTGGTGTCTCCAGCCCACCAGGGGGACACTTGCCCAAACCCGAGCTCCGGCCTCCCCTGCGTGCGCCGCCCCCACCCCCAGCAGTTCCCTGTCCCTCCTCTAACCGCCATGGCCCCTAAGACACCCCCATCCCCAACTCTCTCTGGCTTCCCTGCCTGCACCCTCACTGAGTCCTACTCCCCTCACCCCTGGGTCCGGCCTCCCTCCTGCCCATGCCTCTCAGGGCACCTGTGTCCCTGGCTCCCAGCTCCTCCCTCAACACCCCTTACAGCTGAGAGACACCCCCACAAGTCCTGCACTTTCTGGCCCCGGGGAGGTCCTGGGTCCTGCACCGGGGAGCAGACCTTGGCACCCCCACCCTCAGAATCCAGGCCACCGGCTCCTCACTGTCTCCAGGCAGATGGGGGGTTGAGTGCAAGAAGGGGGACAAGACGAAGAAGCTGCAGGCCTAGGCAGGCTCTAGGGGGGCAGGTGTGAGCCCGAGGGCTGGAGGGAAGGAGGGGACAACCCATAGCACCTCCACGTCTGGACGGGGTGGTTCTCACTCCCCACTGACGTCCGGGGCAGGAAGTGCTCCCCAGCCCAGCTCAGTGATGTTGTTACTGATGATCACAGGTGAGCGGCTCTGAGCACAGGCTGTTCCTGGAGACGCCACCTCCTCGCTGAGGGCCTGCGTCTGTGGGAGGAGCCCGGCTTTGCTCTCCACAGCTGGAACCCAGGGGCAGCCCGAACCCCTTGGGCACGCCCCCTGCGGAGACCCCAGGCTCTCGAACCCAGGCTGAGGGGACCTGAGGTGAGGAGAGACCCAGCCTGGGATCTGCTCAATAGCAACTCCCACTGCGCCAGGCAGGGGTCTGTCCTCAGCCCCCACGCTCCTGGACCGAGGCCGCCTCTCCTGCTTCTTGGCTTGTTGTGTGAGACAATATTTGGTGTTGCTCAACTCCAGAGAAACACGTCAGCCCATCCTGTGTTCTCAGAGGAGCTCAGGAACACCGGTGAAGGGGACCCCTAGGGCGCTGTTGGACCCCTGGTCTCTGTGTCCTTCCTGTAGCAGGACCCCTGTCCTCCAGGCCCCGCGGAGCCCAGAGCCTTGGCCCCTGCGCGGCCTGGGAGTGAGCGGGGCGCAGACCCCGACACGGCCTCACGGGGCTGGGGCTGGCCTGGCAGATCCCCTCTCTGCTCCTGTGGCCCCGGCCCAGGCTCTGGTCATTCTGTTCCTTGTGGGGATGAGCCAGTGGTGTGGCAGCCACGTCCCCCACCTCACTGCACAGAGCCCCTCCGCCCCATGGAATCTTCCGGGGGGAGGGGCTGAAGCTCATGTCCATGTCACAGACCCGGGCAGGCGGGTGGACACCCACAATGACCGGAGTCTTTTCCCACCCCTCCTGCCTCATCAGAGCTGCCCTTTGGGGGCGAGGGCTGTCATCACCTCCCTGCAGAAGGCTTCGCAGCCTGGCTGGGGTCTGCAGCCTCTGACCGTGGAGGGGGCCCTGTGACCCCGAGCTTGTCCCCAGGGCCGTGGTGCTGAGTGCCCCGGTTTCAGGCTCACGGGAGGGTCAGCACTGACTGGAGGGGCCAGGCCTCCTGGGGTTGCTCCTTGGCTCCCGGATGAAGGGCAGCGAGCATCCAAATGGGGGACCCCGAGACCTGGCCCCCGGGCCGCAGCTGCCCTGGACGGTGGGCGGGCTCGGGCTCTGCCCACCCCCCGCCTGGCCCGGGAGAGGCGGACCAGCAGCGCAGCCTCCGGCGCCCACGCGGGCCGAGCCCTCCCTCCCCACAGAGCCATGCATGTGAGCTGTGGTGACTCATGGCTGTGGCTTTATTTCCCTGGGGAACAGCAAGCCCAGAACCCTGCCCACCTGCTCACAGACTGCGGGGCCGAGGCCAGGGGCAGCACCCCACTCCCCCGACAGAGCCTGCCCTGGGGGTGTGAGCAGGGGGCGCAGAATGTGGGAGGGAAGATTGTGGAGGAATCTTCGGGTGTGGAGAGCAGCCCTGTGCCGGAGGCGAGAGGGAGGACAAGCTCATCTCTGACCCGAGAGGCCCCTTTGGCCACACAGGCCCGTCCGTCTGCAGCCCAGGACCCCAGCCCAGGCCCCCACAGGGCCTCTGTGGGCCTGTCCCAGGGCAGGCAGGACTGGGGGGAGGCAGGCAGGTCTCCTGGCCTCAAACCTCTCACGCCCTCTGGCCACCCCAGACCAGGAGGCTGCTCCCCTCCATCACCCCAGGGATACGTCCTCGCCAACTCTCCCTACAGGTAGAGGGGTCCTGTTAGGCCAGGGAGGCCGGACCCTCATTTTCCACTTTAGGAATCAGTCATAGGAGAAAAGGCCCAGCCACCGAGAACGGAGGATGAGCGCAGCTTAGAGAGAGGAGGTGGTGGACGCTCTGGGGGTCCATGTCACAGGCACCCGAGAGGGGCCTCCTCCCCCCAAGGCTGGGCGGCAGCTCAGAGCCCACCTGGAGCTCCACCTGTGTGTCCTCGTGGATGGGGGCTCAGGTGACCTCAGACCCCCAGACCCCGTCCCGAATCTCTGCCCTGCCTGCCCCGTGAGACCCGGGAGAACAGCCTTGAAGCACAAGGGGTTCGTGAGAGGAGCCAGGCCAGACTGGCCAGCTCTCCAGGCCCCACAGACCCTGTGAGGCTGGGTCAAGGGGGTAGGGAGTGAACACCAGCGGGGGTGAGGGCTGTCTGGGGTGATGGAACACTCTGGAAGTAGATAGTGGTGATGACGCCTGATGTAGCAAGTGTAGTACATGTCCCTCGTGGTGCATTTCCCATTTTGTGTATTTTACCGCAATTAAAGACCCCAAACCACAGGGTCTGGGACCCCATGGAGGACCCAGTGCCAGCCTCCCACTCCCCAGGGTCGGGCAGTTCCCGCGAGGCGGACACACGCCACCCGACAGCTGACGGCAGAGACCTCAGCCATCCCATACTGAAGGCAGAGGGCCGCGCCACTCCAATGACACCGACTGCCGGCACTTATCAAGGCCCCCAGAGGCCCGGGGCCCATGTGGGGAGGTGGCTGCTGTTCCCCGCCCAACACCGGAAGAATCTGTGGGCTGCTGTTTTCAATAATTGACCAAGTCCCAGCGGAGCAGGCACCGGGAGCTAACGCTGACTTAGGAAGATGCTGAGCACACCGCTGGATTTAGGGGAGCCTCGGCCCCACCCTGTGCCCCAGGAGGGCAGCTCACAGCCACCCCTGCCCATCCGGAGGGGAGTCCAACTAAATTCTCCCCTGGGTCATGTGTTCCTGGGTGGGTCTGCTTATTATTTTTAATGGATTTTATACAGAGAGGAAGGAGAGGAAGGGAGACAAACAGAGAGGGAAATACAGATATGAGAGAGAAACATTGATCGGTTGCTTCCTATATGTGCCCCAAACGACCGGGGATCTAAACCTGAAACCGGGGTATGTGCCCTGACTGGGAATTGAACCCTCAACCGTCTGGTGCACTGGACGATGCTCCAGCTTGGTGGGCGCACTTATGCCTGCAGCACTCAGCCCACTGAGACAGAACATCGTGCCGAGTCCCCCCTGGACCCCAATCCCTCAGTTCTAAGTAGTGAAGACACTGGGCTCGGGCTCCCCTCCTGACCTACTTGGAGGATGTGACTGTGTGTCATGTGAGGTCTGCTGGGGCCTCCGTCTCCATGGCGGTAGCAGCTCCTCGTGTCCGGTCCTCACAGGCTGACCTTCCTCACTGCCATGTTTTCCCAGCTGCACTGTCCCCCAAGACCGTTCCGAGAGTTCAGCTCGCACTGCCGGTTTTCAACCCCAGTACTCTGTGCTCTCACTCCAAGAACTGCCCTGCTGGGGGAACTGCGGGTGCAGACACCAGCGTCCCCGCCCCCAGCGCACAGAGGAGAGTGTTCCCATCCCGACCCCAGGCTCCAGCGGAGGGAGGGAGTCCCTGGCGCGGCCTCCCCTGGCTGAGCCCCGAGTGCTAGGTGTTTAACCAGGACGGCTTTGGGGAAAAGGCGGAGAAAACACCATTTCTCCCGGCTTCCCACCGGCCCCCTCAGCGCACGAGTCACTCCCAAGGGTTCACTCCGGGCTCCTTTACAAAAAGACGCAGATGCATTTACTTGTCTCTGCCCAAGGGGATTCGAGGTGCGGGGACGTTGACACCCTCAGACAGTGACCACAGCATGAGCTCGAAGGGCAGTTTCTCAGTTAATAAGATTGACCACCGGCCCTCCCCACACTGCGAGTCTCAGCCACGGTGCTTCCTGCCCTGGCCTGTCCCCCAAATGAGCAGAGCTGCGAGCGGGACTGCGGGTGCTGGGAGCAGAGCCCCGGAGACGCCCGCGCAGGCACCCTGTCCCACCCCCGGGCCCCCGCCCCCACCCGAAACTTCTGCAGCCGCGACGCCAGGAAAGTTGAAGGGCCCGCCGGCCTTCAGCACCGCGGACAGCTCCGCGCACGCCCCCGCCTACCTGTCCTCGCTCTGGAAGGACTGGTCGCCCAGCAGCAGGTCCCTGAAGCGGTACCGCGGCGGCAGCGGCAGCACCTCCGAGTCCAGGTCGCTCATCTTGAGGCTGGCGGTGTCCAGGAGCACCCCGTCGCCGTCCCCGTCCCGGCCGCCGCGGTGCCCGGCGCCCGGCTGCCTGCGGGCACACGCCAGCTCGCTCAGCCCCGGCTCCTGCGCTGCCCGCCCGCCCTACTGCCCCGCCAGCCGGCCGCAGACACCCCGCCAGCTGCCGGCGCCCCGCCGCGCCCCCTCCCCCGCGCACGCCCCCGCCCTGCGCAGTCGGCAGCCCACCCGCTCCGCGCGGCCCTCCCCACGCTGGTGGCCGAGCAGCCGCCCTGCCCGCCCTGCGTGTGCAGACCCCGCAGCTTCCCTTCCTGCACAGACCTGGCCCCGGCCCCGGCCCCACCCGCACCCCTGCCTCTGGCCTGGACACCGCACCCACCACACCTGCTGGGCTCTCTCCAAGGCGCCTCCAGGGCACCGGTGAGGTTTGTCACCAACTCAGATGCCGGAGTTCACGCCACCACTGGGTCCCCACGGCCATGCAAGCCCTCCCAGCCCCTCCTGAGCCCCCCAGTGCGCCCCCCAGCCTTTGCCAAGGCAGCCTGCTCTGCATTCCCCAGGGTCCAGAACACCCACCTCTGCCCCACAGACCTCCTCTCTGATCCTCCGCTGCGGGGGTGGGGGTGACCAGGAAGCTGGAGGCATCTGTCTATGACCCCCCTCCCCCGGGGCCCAGCAGCTCAGAACAGATCAGAACCTGGGAAGAAGTGTCAGTGGGGGAGGATGGTTCCTCTGGGCCAGTGTCATCAGGACTCTAGGAGCACAGAGCCCCCCACTGAGACTCGGCAGTGGTGTGGAAGGGGGATGGGCAGACTGGGTTCCAGGAGGGTCCTCCTGGTAGCAGCCTTTGGGGTCCACACCTGCCTCCCGGGCTCCTGCCCAGCTCCCCAAGTCAAAGTGAGTTTGGGCTACAGTTACACGCGGCAGGGGGAACCGGCCAGCAGAGCCACCAGGCGCCCAGCCCCCAAAGCCCTCTGGCCATCTGCACCAGGCCCTGTGCCCCCCAAATCGGAGGACTGCTATGAGCCCATCGCAGCAGCTGCACCCCCATGAACTGGACGCCGTGGGGACACTCATCTCCAAGGCACAGGTGGCTCCTCTCAGTCCCTCGGAGGGACGCAGAACCAGCTGGGGGAGAGGGGCTCTCCACCCTGCCAGGCCCGTCCCCCGAGGCGGGGGCGCAGGGAGACTGAGAAGCCATCTCAGGCTTGGGCAGGTGGAGTCTGCTGACCACATTGGTGCCTAGGCTGGGAAATTGAGGGCAGGCTGTGCCAGAGGCCAGAGAGGACCACTCACCTGGAGCACAAGGGGTGGCAGGCTCTGCGGCCCTAACCCTCCTCTTCGCTCAGACGGGGAGGGGCGGGCCCATCCCAGGCTCCCAGCCCCCGGAGGAGCTGCACACAGGTGTCGGCACCCCCGTCCCACAGCAGTGGGGAGCTACTCCAGGGCCGGCCCTGCCCAAAGCTGCTTCCCCGGGTCCCAGGTCCAACCCGGAGGAACTGGCTGCCTTTGGAAGATATTTTCCTAATCGCATCAGCGTGCTTGTGTTTTTCCTTAGTCACGAGCTGGCTGGACAGCGGGGAGCCTCTCGGTCAGAGGTAGGGGCCCCGCGTTTCCCTCTGGTCTTGCCTCTCTCAATGGCCCAGCCCGCAGGCCCCGCCCCAGGCCTGGCTGCCGCCCCCACCCTCCTTTGGGCTGCTTTGGGTTTTCTTTCTTGGCCTCGAGGCCTAGAGTTGGCAGGGCTAGGGGAGGTCTCAGGGGTGGGGCCTCTGTTTACTTCAGGGGGACACAGGGCAGGAAGGGATCTGGGGGTTGGAGGCCTCGCCCCCAGCCCGGAATGTGGCCTGGGGCGGTGACGAAGGTACTGTGCCCCTCCACCCTCCCAGCGTGGCTGGGACACTAAACATCCGAATGAGCTCAGGGTGGGAGCAGACACCCCGCAGACCTCCTGGCCTCCTGCCTCGGTCCCACAGAGCTGACAGCCCACGTGACCCTATTTGTTGTGCTGGCCGAGGTCAGGGGTCTCCTGGGAAGGTGCCCGTGATGGGAGGGCCCTGAGCAGCTGCTCACCGGGTCACTGGGGTCTCTGAGAGCTATTGGGCTCTGGGCGGGGCGGGGTCTGCCCTGCAGAAGCTGAGATGGTCCGGGTGGCGTCCTGGACACGGGTCACCTCGCAGTCTAACCCCTCGGCTCCCTTCCCACTCCCTCCTCCCTGCACGACTCAGGGGGGTCCCAGAGGAAGTCTCATTCTCTGGGTGGTGAGCACACCAAGGAACTGCCCTCGCTCGCCACAGGAGAGGGTGGACTGCGTGTGGGACTCGCTGCCCCCCAGGAGCCAGAGCAGAGCTAAGTAGACAGAGCAGCCCCTCCTCCCTGGCAAGGCTGGGGACCCCTGCTCCTCTTGGGGACCCTCAGGGCTGTCGGCACACACCCGCCAGGCCAAGGAATCAGGTGAGGGTCCTGCCGACCGGAGCAGGCTCTGACCTGTGGGCCTGGGAAGTCCCTTCACCTTTCTAAGCCCGTGTCCTCATCCGAACCAAAGGCCCCGAGGTTCCCACCTCACAGGTGATGGTAAACAAGCGATGAGCTGACAATGCAGGGTGCTCGGGGCCATGCCCGGCACGTGAGTGAGTGTTTAATGCGGGGCCGGGAGCCAGCAGTTTGGCCGAGTTCCCGAGGGCAGAGGTTCTGACCCTGAGCATCAGTCCCCTGGGTTGGCCAGCTCCCCACCACGTCCTTGCCAGGGCAGCAGGAGGACACTCTGCGGGGCTCGGGATGAGACCTGTGGGGTCCAGCAGAGAGGCAGGACGAGCGAGGAGTCCACACATGGGCACACAGCGCGGGAAGTCACCTCCAACCCCACGGGAGGGCAGCTGCCTGCCAGGCTTGTGCACCACTGGAGGGCGGCACACAGCCAGGCTTCTCTCTAACGGGACCTGTGGGGTCACAGCTAAGGAGTTTCACTGAGGTCCTGCAGCTGAGGGGCAGGCCTGCTGGGTGGGAGCCAGCAGCCTGCTGCTGAAGCTAGCAGCTCACCCCCGGGCTGTGCACCCTCGTCTGCCCAGGAAACCCCGGAGGGCAGCGACTTCTGCTTCTCCGTCCCTCCCACACCTGCCCCCTGGTGGTCAAGCAGTCAGCAGGACCAAGCAAGCTGGGGTGGGCCAAGGCACTGGGCCCTGCTGGGTTTCCAGTCAAGCTCTGGTCCCTCCATCAGACCACAGAAGAAAGAGAAGCTACTCTGCTCATGTTCCCAGACTGGTCATCCCATCGCCGATCAGACAGACGGACGGGCCGGCGCAGACATCAGGCCACCTCCCTGACGATAGGTGCAGATATCCGGCGGAAGCCGCTGGCCAAGGGGACCCAGTGTGCGCTCCCAGAACACTGTACCCCGAAACCAAGCAACATTCGCCGAGAAAAAGTGCCATGTACCTTCTCTACCAAAACAATCAAGGCAGGAAGTCCCTACGATCAGTAGACACAGAAACAAGACTCATCGAGAGTCACAATCCATTAGTACGTGAGATGCCGAGGGACACGTTTAAATCCGATTAACCAGAACGACAGGAACCTACCAGAAGTCTAGGCGGGCAGCATGGCTATGGTGAATGGGGGAGGCTTCCCTCTGAAGCGGGGTGCCCAGGTCTGCCCACCAGGGTGGACATCCCAGCCAGGCACTGGCAAGGAAAGAGCAGTAAGTGCTGAGCAGGAGCAAGGAGCTCCGCTGTGGCCAGCCAGCATCATCGTTTACTTAGAAAACCCAAGAGAATCCACTAAAAAACCATTAGAACGAAAGGAAGCATCTGACCATCCGGCCAAGCCCAGAGCCTCGCTCAAGTCAACAGCCAGCGTTGGGGGGGGGGGGGCACTCAAGGCAGCTGCGGGGCCCAGAGCCCCACACACCAGCCTCCGGACCGTCCAGAGAAGCCACGGTCATTAACGGGGGCGGTGCCCGCTCCCAGGGGTTCAGCCGGTTCATCAGCCCCCGTCAACACACGAGGCCGCTTCTCAGAACCCGGCCAGTTGTTTCCAGAGTTCATGCTGAAGAATAAATACTTGCAGGAACAGGGCAGGCGGTGAGCAGAAGCGGAGCAGGGGACCGTCTCAGCTGTGGGGACGAGCTTGCGGCCGCAGCGCTGGAAACCTGGGACCAGGTGTGCCTTCGTTCGCTAAGCTGAGACCCACCACGGCCCACAGCTGGGGAACCGGGCGGCGGAGAGCACGGGGAAATGCGATGGCCCCGAGAAGGCCCCTTATTTAATACTCAAAACCGGGCGTGTAGAGAACCGAGTTGTGCTTTAACTTCGGAACAAGACGGGGCTGTTTCAGCAAAGACTCGGGGACAGAGGGAGGGGCAGTGACGGACAGGAGAGCGTCTGCAGCCGCAGTCAGGTCCGGCCCCGCCACCCTGGCCCGCCCGTCATGGGGAGACAGATGGCAGCAAAGGATGGGTGAGGGGCAGCTCGAAGGATGGAGAAGGGGAAATAAACCACCATTTACGCGACAGGCTCCCTGGCCAACGGAGCGGAGCCGAGCGGCCTCAACACCCCGGGCAGGCCTGGGGCCCCCACACTTTGGTCCATGTCTGAGCTGAAACAGCAGCTCCTGATCAGAGTCCCCACCAGGACACCGTCCCTGTGCACAGGAGGCAGGGACCCCGCCACAGCCCCCTGGTAATGATGCACCCCGCCCAGCCGGCTAGCTCAGGAGCACTGCTCCATGAACCAGCAGGTCCCCACGGCCTACGTGGACACACCCACAGACACCAGACCACGTCGATGTAAAAGTCGGCTCCAAAGGACGCCGGCAAGCGGAGGTTCCTCCGGGCAGCCAGCTCGCGGACAACGGGCAGACTGTCGCCGCCACTCCATGACCTCTGTTCGGAGGGTGGTGGGGACCAAAGGCCACGTCTCGCCCACAGAGCTTCGTGAGGAGACTGAGGGCGTGTGACTTGTGTGATTGGACATGGGAAAGCCAAGGGACCAGCTGCCCCTCCCTCCAAGTGTCACTTGTCCCTGAGGGCCTCCGCAGCCGGACACGTGACGTCCGGAGAAAGCGTGTCCGCCCAAAACTCCTTCTAGGAGCCCAGGATTTTAAGAAAGTTTTTCCTTTATTGATTTTTAGAGAGAGAAAGTGAAAAGAAGAGAGAGTTGGAAACATCGATGAGAGAGAACATCGATGGGCCGCCTCCTGCACGCCCCCCACTGGGGATCGGGCTCACAACCTGGGCATGTGCCCTGACCGGGAATCAAACCGGGATCTCCTGGTGCAGGGTCGACGCTCAACCACGGAGCCTCACTGGCCAGGTGCCCAGATCTGTATGCAATATTCAGACTGACCATCCAGACCTGGGGTGTGACTAGGGACACCCCTTGGGGTGATGGACTCGGTCTCTGTCCTAAGGTACATTCTCCAGTTGTTCACTCTTACATCAAGTTTTCCAAGGAGTCTGCAGAGCCATGACGACAGAGGAACGGAGGGTGCGGTATGTGTGCACGCACATGCATGTGTGCACACGTGTGGCCCTGTGCACATGCATGTGTACACAGCTCACCTGTCCCTGCCAGCGTCCAGAGGGTCCTGTGGTGGGTGCAGGCGAGGGCTGGGCTGGGTGCCCAGGCAAGTGGGAAGCTGCTGAATGTCCCTCTGGCCGAGACAAAGGACAAGGCGCTTGCTTCCACAATGATTAAAAGCCGCAGCGGAGGCCAGGGCGTCTCTGGGGAAGGGGCTTGGCACTCGCCACTGCCCGGCAGCTGTGATGGCCACAAGGGGAGGCTTCAGTGCATCACTGAGCCAGAGTCAAACTGGAGTCGTTAAAACGGACGCCTGCAGCACGGCCTCTGTGCACCAGGCAGGCCCAGAGGACAGGCGGCCGCGGCGTGGGCACGGCCTCCTCACCACCCTCGACGTCCTCGAGCCCACGGGCCTGCCCCCACCCTGCCTGCGCCAGCCTCTGTGCAGAGACCCTGCCGCGCTCCTGAGGGTCACTCAGGTGGCAGGTTCATGTCCAGATCACGGGGCCCAGCACCACCCCCTGCGTGCCCGGGGCCCTCGTCCCGTCCCATCCTTACAGAGATGGCCTGAGTACCCACCCTCTGGCCAGACACACGGTACCTACTCAGAGGTGCCTAGTGACCAAACACAGGCCTGAGCCAAGCTGCAGGGGCAGTGCTGACCCCAGAGCTGGGGCTGGTGTTCTGGGGGGGCCTGTGAGAGCCCGAGGTGGGGACACTGCGTTCCCTCTGCCACAGCAGTGTGGGGGCTGCACCAGGGAAGGGAAGCTGTCCTGTGGACGGGGGGTGCTGTCCCATGGCAGGGGGCCTTCCCGAGTAGGAGGGGTGACTCACAGAGATGGCCTGCGCTCAGCACATACTCCCCGCCCAAGCTGTTCCCCCAGGGTCCCCCCGGTGCCAGGCCAGTGCCAGTCTGTGGAAGGACCACCCTGACCCATGACATGTCGCCAGGAACTTGCAATCCTGAGCCTGGTCCCCACCAGAAAAACCCTAAGGACCACCCACGCCCCCCTCACTTTACACGAGGCTGAGCCCCAGAGGAAGTGGCCGACGGCAGCACACAGCCTCAAACAGCTGCCCACCTCTCAGGTGTCCTCACCCACCTGCACGGCCCAGCCACGCAGGACTGAGGGCAGGACTCCCGCCAGCCGGGGATGGGCTGAGGGCAGGGGCAGGCTCCGGCACAGGGCGAGGGGCAGACCTGTGCGCCTGTCCTCAGGCTGACGTGACAGGGGAGAGAGGCAATACCCCGCTGGGGTTGTCACCCCTCTTCCCGGGCCCCTCCAGAGTGCTGTGCCCTCTGGGCCTGGCACCTGGACGGGCAGGAACCCTGGGACACCCCGGGACACGGTGCAGAGGCTGGCGGACCACGGCTGGCTCCCAGGCCGCGTGGAGGCCCTTGCCAGCTAACCCTCCCTCACCGGGACGGGCACACGGAGACCAGGGCAAGGGAGTCACCAGCTGAAAATCACCAGCCGGAGCCAGGACCCCCGCCCCTTCCCTGACAGCACACCCACGTCCCAGTCAGGGCTCCTCCTGGGAAGACAGGCCCTCGAAAACCTGCTGTGCGGGGTACCCATGCCCCGTGCCCTTGGGCACAGCCCTGCCACCTCCACGCGGGAGCACCCCCAAGGCCCTCTCAGGCTCTGTCCGAGGGGGCGGGGAGGCCCGTGGGCGCAGCAGGGTCTGGCCCGCAGGGTCCGCACCTCCCCGCACCCGGGAGACGCTCAGCCCTGCATCTGAACATGGCGCGCTCCGGCCGCCTTCCCCTAAGGACGCAGATGGACGGAGCCGCCGGGCACCTGCTGGTCACTGACTTGAGTGCCCGCCGCCTGGCCCCGCCGGGTCCTGAAGGGCGCCCGTTCCCCACGGCGGCCGGGGGAGGGCGCTCGCGGGTCCTGGCCCTGGAAGCCGGGATCCCAACTGAGGATGAGGGGTCCCGGGGTGGGAGGGTCCTGGGGTGGCGCTAGCCCAGACAGGGGTCCCTCTGCCAGGGGAGGGCGCCGCCGACTGTACCTGGGGGCGCATCGGCCGTCATCGAACACGAAGGTCCGGTTGGTGTGGCCCCCGCCGCTCGCCCCCGCCCCTGCGTGGACGCCCCCCGGGCCGCGCGCCCTGTCTGGGAGCGGCATGCGGCCGGTGGGGCTCCGAGGCGAGGGAGAAGCAAGTGGGGAGCGACAGGCGACTCCTTCCCTCGCTCGGCCCGGAAATACAGCACTTTTCCCGATTAGGGGGTGGGGGAAGCGTGCTCCGGGTCGGGGTTCGGGCGCCGGTCCGGGCGCGCCCCCTGGTGCTCGGCCGGGAATCGCCGCGGCGTCGGGCCGGCTGGGGCGGGTGGAGGCGGGTAGGGATCCGCCCCTCCTCCCAAGCGGCCCTTGGGTCCCACAGATCTTGGAAACAGTTCTCAGAACAGCCTCCCCGCGCCCCTCCATGTCCTCCCTCCCTGGTCCCCACTCCCATCTACCCCACGAGGTTCCAGAAACGGTCGTCTCCTCCTCCAGCACCCTTACGTAAGACCAGTTTCTTCCCCCAAAGAGGGGTCCGACCCCCCTCTGGGCCCCTGGAGCCCAGGCCCACGTGCCAGCCCCGGGCAGCCTGGGCGCCCGCGTGCACCAGCCCGCTGTCCTGGGAGTCGCCGCTGCACCCCGAGGACGCCCCTTCCCGCCCTCTCCCTCCACAGGCTACACCCCCCCGGGCGCGGGGCTGGGCCTCCAAGGAGCCGGCATCCAGCTCGGGGCTGTCACCTGGGGGCGCCCATGGGCGGGCAGATGAGGGGAGACCACACCCGAGGGGGAGCGGGGCGGACCCCTGGGAAGTGGGGTGGAGGGCCACCTAGGCTGGGCCCCTGCGCGCCGCTGGCTGCGCGGAGCGGGCGGACCCAGGCGCGGTTCTGCCGCAGGTCCGTGGGAGGGACCCTGCTCCACGGGGCCACGGGCCAGGGGAGGGCGCGGCTGGGCGGGCGCGTGCGCACGAAGCCGGCCAGGTGCGGCCAGGTGGGCAGCACGTGTGGGCGGGCAGCGCGCATGTGAGTGGCCGGGCTGGAGGACACGTGCGTGCGGTCTGGTTGCGGCCTCGGCAGCTGCGTGCTCATGGCGTCCCAAGGCCCCCAGCCCACTGCGGGGGTTTCCCAAGCCCCCCTCTCGAGGGGATGCTGGTGAGGAATTGGGGTTCGGGGTGGTGAGGTGGAAGGCCTCTGCCAGGGGTGGTCGGGGTTTCCGGGCCCCTCTCCTACCACGCGCTTTGCTCGATTCAAATGGCTGGAGCCCAGGGCCCCACCCAGAGCGGCTGGCCTGGGGCAGAGCCCCCCGACTGCCCCCAAGTGGGGGTGAGAAGGGAGGGAGGGGCCCAGGCCCTGTCCTGCACCCGCCCTCCACCGCCCCCCAAAGACACCTATGATCGCATTTGGGCTCCAGGGGCGTCCTCGGGGGTCCCGGAGCCTGGTGCTGTTGACTCTTCCCAGCAGCAGCTCTCGCCCGACTGGCGCCTGGTTCGCCTGCAAGGACCCTGGCGGGGGCTCCAGGCCAGTCAAGACCCCTGCGGTGGCGGAGGGTCCGGCTTCCGGCCTCCCTCGGAACGTGCTCAGCGAGAGGGAGCGCAGGTGGGCGTCGGTGGGAGGTGGGTGGACAGACGTCTAGAAGGGTGGGGCGGGAGAGGGGGTGGGTGCAACAAACTTCAGGCAGCCTGGATAGGCTTGTGGCATCTGTCCAGTACGGGGACAGTTGGCACGTCCCCCAGGTAGACAAGAAAGCCCAGGGGGAGGGTGGTGGGCAGGGACCACCCCTGCAGCTCCCTTTGACCTGAAGCCCTGGGCATCTTGAGGTTGTGCAGTTGTGTCCTCTGGACCCCAGACTCTGGGTACTGATCTCTGCCCCACACCCCCAAACAGTGGTGGGCCAGGCCGGGGCAGGCAGTGGTCAGGGGCTGTGCCCTGACATAGTCTCCGAGGGTCGTCATCAGCCTGTGGTCCTTCTGCCTGAGTGGCCCCCGGGACCGCTCTGAGGGGCATCGGGTGGTTGCAGCCCTTTCTCCTGGCCGAGGCTGGACGGGCTCATGGATGTTTGTTGCTTGTCTGGAAGCAGGAAGCGGATCTCAGTGAGCTGTGAGCGTCTGCGGGCCCTTCTGCCCAGGTTCGATGGCCGGAAGGAGGACATGGCTTCGGTCCTGGAGATGTCGGTGCAGTTCCTCCGGATGGCGGGCGCTGTGGTGCCCGGTGGGGAGCCACAGCCTGCGAGTGTGAGTGGGCACCGGTCAGCCGGCCTGGGGCAGCTGCGTGTTCCCAGGCTCCTCTCCATTTGTGCAAAGGCTGCTGTCATCGGGCCTCCTGTGGGGGCGACACTGTGGCCCCACCTCCAGCCCTCATGTCCCTTCCCACCGTACCAGCATGGGGTAAAAGCCCCATTGCCCTGAGGCCCCTGACGGGCTCAGCCTCACCCTCCAGCCCCCAGGCCTGAGGACCAGGGTCGGTGCACAGAGTGGCCCTCCAGGACCCCAGGCGGGGCTGCCAGGGACAAACTGCAGCTCACTTTTCCTGTGGTTTCCTGGTGGTTACGTCCGCGTCTGTGTGTATTCCAGTGTCAGGTCCTCGCCCCCTGCACGGAGTTGTGGGGTGTATGGCAGAAGGATGTCGTGCAGCTGGCCCTGACGAGTCCGACCTCGGCCAATGCACCAGACCCTGGGACAGCAGCATCGGTGACCACGTCAGTGTGCCCTGCCAGGCTGGGGACCCAGGGGGGCTGCAGATGCAGATGCTTCAGAGACTCTTCTGTTTTTGCACCGTCCAGGCAGCGGGACCCTGGGAGCTGTGTGACCACAGAGGTGGGCCAGGGTGCGGCCCCCAGAGGGTCGGTCGAGGTGCCAGACAGGCCAGCGGCCCTCCCTGGTAAGTGACTGGGTATGAGCATGGCCCCCAGGTCGCCCAGGAGGTGTGGGAACATGGGCGTGCTCCACCCCCTCACTCCTGTGGCCACTGCTGTGTCAGGCTCCCCGAGAGCAGCCCCCGCCTGCAGCAGTTCTGACAGCTCCTCAGGGGCCCTGCGGCCAGCTTCTCTGTTCTGCGATGGGTTGAGTCATGGACCGGAGGCTGTTCCTTCCCTACGTGGGGGACCTTGTTCCCTGGTGCCGCCCCTGATGCCTTTGCCCTCCTCACGCTGGATCTGCGCCCAGCTGTCTGGCGCTGCTGGTGGTGGTGTTCAAGCCGCCCGTGTGTGTTTGCCGCATGTCGTCCCAGAGCGCCCTGGGGGGCGAGGCTGCACCTTTCTACTCCCCAGGTGTGCCCACCGAGGGCCTTGCTGCGGGCAGGGCTGTTGACAGACCGGGCCACCCGGGACCCCCCACAGGACGTGAGGGTCAGAGGTCACGCAGCAGGAGCTGGGCTGAGGATGGTGTGGGGCCAGGGGCTGCAGGCACATGGAGTGGGGAGACAGGCCGCAGCCCGAGGATCCCCGGGTCTGAGCCCCACGGGTTGACCTGAGGCCAAGTGGGCACCACCTCCAGGAAGCCTTCCTGGCCCCCGGTGTCAGGCGCCTCGCCTCTGGGCACTCACCTCCTCCCGCTTACCTGTCTGCCTCTGCTCCTGAGCTCCGTGGTTCCTGCCCTGTCCTGTGCAGGGCGCAGCGGGCAGGGGCTGGGTCTTCGGGGAGGGACAGCTCCCTGGCTGGGAAGTCTGTCCCACGCCTCACTTCTCTCACAGGGCCTTCCGGTTCGGCACCCTGGACCCCAGCCCCAAGTCCCTCCCAGCTCTTGAGGCCGCCCCCAGCATGGCCTCCCTGCTCATGGCAGCCAAGCCCCCTGCTGCTGAGCGAAGAGACTCAGAGCTGCTCGGGCCAGTCCAGGCCCCTGGCCGAGGAGGCTAACCAGGCTGTGATGCTGGGCACCAGGTGGGCCCCCGCTCGGAGTGTGCGCCCCCAGCCCTGCCCACCCAGGAAGGTGCTGCCCCTCCCTGTGTGTGTGCCCAGAGCCAGCCAGGCTCAGCCACGTGGCGCTCAGTGTGTGCTTCTGATTGTCTGATCGGGCTGATGGTGAACGAGTTGGTGCTTGGTGAGCACCAGCTGGGGCGGGGCGGGGGTGGGGGCCCTGGGGGAGGGCCTGAGAGGAACCAATGGGCTGTGGGTGCTGGGTGCTGGGGCGGGAGGGAGGGAGCCACCCATCTGCCTGAACCTGAGGCCGCCTTTCAGGGCCCCCCTGTCCCTGAGGACGGAGGACAAGGTTGACTCGGGAGTGCTCAGGGGGTCTTCTCACCTGTCCAGGTCGGCGTTGGGCTGTGACGTGGAAGATGGACCGTCCTTCCCGCTGGCGGCCAGTCCCGAGTGGTGGCTGGGTAAGTGGGGGACACGGTCGGCCACCTTCACACACGCAACACACACGCATCACACATTCTCTCCTGATCAGGAGCAGGCTTTGGGGCCTCAGATCCTGATGTGGGGCTGGGATTGTGGAGAGATGTGACCGGGCCCAGCTTGCTGTGTGACACCCAGGTCCCTGTCTGTGAGCTCCTGTTTCTTCTGTGCTGGAATTGTCACCAGTGAGGGCCGTGGAAGGTGATGTGTAGGAGCGTCTGTGAGCATGGGTGCGTGAGCGTGTGTGTGTATATGTGTGAGCGCGTGTGTGTGGCGTGAGTGCGTGTGTGACCATGCGTGTGCGTGTGTGAGCGTGCATGTGTGGTGTGAGCTTGTGTGTTTGAGCACGCATGTGTGAGCGCACGTGTGTGTATGGTGTGAGCATGTGTGTGCGTGTGTGAGCATGCATGTGTGGTGTGAGCTTGTGTGTTTGAGCACGCATGTGTGAGTGCGCGTGTGTGTATGGTGTGAGTGTGTGTGTGAGTGTGGTGAGCGTGCGTGTGAGCATGTGTGTGAGTGTGCATGTGTGAGCATGCGTGAGCGGTGGTTGTGTGTCGCCTGTGATCGGCCTCAGTGCTCTTGGTCCAGAGTCTAGACGGTGTCCCCACAGGGCACTGGGCCGAGTGCTGAGTTGAGTGTCTGGGATTTAGTGTTGGGGAAACATCTGATTCAGGCCCGAAGGGTCCTCCTGGGTCCCGGGCGGCGAGCGTGGGCCCATCTCACAGAGAAGCAAAGGGCCCTGAGGAGCAGGGCGGCCTCCTCTGCACACAGACCCACCCTGCATGCCGGCCCCGCCACCTGCCTGCTCTGCTCATGTGTCTGGTCTCCTTGCAGGGTCCCTGGAGGGCAGCGGCGCCCCTGCTCAGGCCCCAGCGAGGAGCAGCCTGATGGACAGGACAGAGCTGGGCGTCCTGGTGGACCCCGGGGCCGGCTCCCAGGAGCTCCTCGACGGCCCCCTGGAGCCCTGGGGCTGGGACGTGGGCTGCCCCAGCCTGGCCTTCCGGGATGAGGCGGACAGCATGTTCCCCGACTTCTCTGCCTGCTAGGCGGCCGGCCCGGGGCCTTGGGCGTTTTACTCTGGGTTGGGCTGCAGCTGTGTTCTAATTTCGGCACCAAGCGGAGCGGAGGCTGAACATTAAAGGAGACAGCAGCCTCTCTGGGTGACGGATACGACTTGGGGGGCTGACGGCGCGTTCCCTCAGAGCACGGGCACCGCCTCGGATGACCTGCCGCAGAGCTGGGGTGGGGCCGTGAGCGGAGCCTTCTGTGTTCCCGCCCGCTCCCCAGAGAGGCGTGCGTGGGGCCCATTCCTCTTGCTCGTGAGGCTGGTCTGCGGGGTACCCAGAGGGTCCACTGAGGAGCCCTCGTGGGGGGCCTGGGGTAGAGGCCACCTGGCATCAGCGTCTGGACCCCTACTCTGCTGGTGGGCACTGGTTCAGTCCCCGCTGCCTGGCCAGGCCCCCTCTGCCCCGAGTCCCACCGTCCACCACAGCAAAGCCAGTGGCGGTCTCTGGTCTCTGACACAGGCCGGTCAGGGCTCACCCTGGGCGTCCCCGTGCAGAGACGCTGGTCCCCAGGCTCCTGCGATCCTCCCCAGTCACATCCAGGGCCCCAGGGTCCCTCCCTGCAGAGAAGGCCCTCAGAGCCCGCCCAGCAGCCTGCCTGTCTGCCCCTGCACCCGGAAGTCATTTCCCGTGAGTCACCGAGACGGAGGTGAGCGGCTGGTGTGGGAGGAGATGCCACAGAGAGAACATCACAAACCGCAGCCCCGGGAGCTGGGGGCCTGGGGAGGCCCGGGTCCAGCTGGGTACCCAGGGGTGGCTGATGCCCCCAGACCACCATCCGCAGGAGCCCACGCCTCCACAGGCTTCCTGAGGATCCTGAGTGTGGCATGGGCAGGGGGCACAGCCCCGGCCCCCGGAGCCCTGCCTCTGGAAGGGCCCCCCCAGGCCTGGCTGCCAGCAGACCAGAAACCCCAAGACCCCAAGAGCACGAGGCTGCAGGGTCCGGGCTCCTCCGTAGTCACGTCGACTCCCACAGTCCTTGGTTTGAAGAGTGTCTCCCAAGAGACCACGTGTGTGCGTGCCCACGGGCGGTCCTGTGGGTTTACACACGCGTGTTGTCAGGTGTCGGCTAGTGCCTCCCCTCGGCGGACGGAACCCTGCCACGGGCCCGGCCCTGCGCGGGGTGTGGGTTCCTCGGCCCGCAGGGGACCCCGGGCAGAACTGCTCTGTGGGAGCAGCTGCCTCAGTGGGGCAGGCGCAGGGCTTGGACGCCCAGCCCCCATGTCTCTGGCCCGGCTGACCTGGACGAGCCCCGCCTGAGCGCTGGGGGTCCGCCTGTGCCCCCGCGTGGGGAGCTCGCCCCAGCACCTGCTGAGGAAGGCCAGGAAGCTGGGGCTCCAGCTTGCTCAGAGCCCTGACGGGCCCCAAGAGGGCAGCGAGGTGAGCCCCCAGCTCCCTGTGCAAAGTGAGGGACAAGCCCCCACACTCAGGTGGCAGACAGAGCTCTGTGCTGTCTGCAGCCCAGGGAGGGGATGGGGGGTGTTGAGAAAGACGGAGTATCTGCCGGTCCGCGGACCCGGCTGCTGGGCTGGGCCCCCTCCTGGCTTGTGCGGGCAGAGGGGTGCCGGCTGCGGGGGCTGCGACAGGCGGGGGCCGGAGGCGCCTTCCTGAAGCTGAGCCCGGAGGTGAGTTGGAGGAGAAGGGGCTGGGCTGGAGCTGAAAGGCTCCCGGGAAACAACTTTCTTCCCGCCCCCTCCTCGCCGTGGCCTTGGCGAGTGAATGGCAGCTCCAGGGCTGCGGGGAGCTCAGGGCGGTGCAGAAAGCCCTGATGCTGGGGGTTGCTGGCTCATTTCGGGGTCCGGTTGGGGGTGAGCTTCAGCACAGCCCCCTCCCCAGCTTTCAGTACACCTGTTCCCCTGCCTCCTGCCCCACTTGGGGTCCCGCAGGACCTCAGGCACTCCAGGCCACCCCCACTCCAGGCCCACCCACCCCTCAGTGGGGGGGACGTCCCGGGGACTGTCTCAGCACAGTCAGCCATGGGCTGGGAGCTGCCCCGCTTCTCCATCCGCCACCCTCTGCCCACCCTGCCCTGGGCACCTGCTCCTTGGCCCTGGTGGCCAGTGAGAGTCACGTGCGCATGCTGCTCCAGCCCTCTGGCCCCCTGTGGCAGGTTGGGGACCACTGCACAGGGGGAGGGTGTGGTCATGGGGCCCCTCCCGTAACACCAGGGACGTGCCCACTTATCCATCCGCATCCCAGGTGCCCAGGCAGAGGAGACCCTGGGACAGGGGTGGGTTTGATGTGTGGCGTGAAGGGGGTGGCCTGCTGTGGGGCAGGGAGCCACGGGGGCCCCCTGCCCTCTGTCCGGAGGCTGAGAGAAGGGAGCACCCCTGGAAGGAAGCTGGCCTCACGCACGGATGCCTCCAGCCCCCTGTCCCTCTGGCCCCCCTGGGGCAGGAAGGTGGCCTGTCCCCGCCCGGGCTTCCCACGCTCCGGCTGGACTGGGGAGCCCGGCCCAGTAGGATTAAGTCACTGAGGTGGGGTCCCGGGGCGGCCAGGAGATTCAGGGCCTCGAGCCCTCACCCCTGCGGGCTGGTGTCTTCGGTCGAAGGTCTTGATTAAACGGTGGGTGGGGGGCGGCAGTCCTTGGAGCTGCCAGTGCCTTTTCAACCGAAAATAAAGCCGTTTGATGGTAGCACACAGGGGCCGGCACCTGCCGTGCTGGGTCTTCCCACGCACCGCCCCCGAACAAGCACCCTGAGTCAGTATGACGCAGACACACCGTTCTCGTCCGTCCAAATAATCCGCTGAGGTGACCCTCGCAGCCCTGAAGCCGCCAGCAGTGCTCTGCCCTGAGCCCCGGACCTTGGAGCCCAGCGTCCGGGCGCACGGCCACTGTTGCCTGTCCACGGGGTCTCTGCCTTGGCTTGGGCTGCAGGAGCCACAGGCCAGCCCCACACTGAGCGCCCAGCCTGGCTCAGAGGGCTGGGGCCTGGGTACACCCCCCGGCCCCCATGGGCTCAGCTCCCCTCTGCACCTCTCTTCAAGCGGATACAGCGCATCTCTGTGTTCTGGGGTGTCTTCACGCACCGTCGGCAGCCACCTCTCGAGCACCCTTCCGGGCAGACGTGCTCTGCTCCCCCAACGCCAGCTCCAGCACCAGCAGGCCCAGCTGAGTGGGCCGCTTCCCACGCCTCCCTGCCACAGCCCAGCAGGCTCGACCGAGGTCCGGACAGAAAGCTGAAGGCCGGATGGCGTGGGAGGGCCAGGTCCCCCGGCTCACCGGCCCCCCCGGAACCACTCTGTCCAGTGTCTGGCAGCTCTGGAAGGGGCCCCAAGCTCTCCCTGCCCCACAGCCCGGAGCCCCAGTCCTGAAGCAGACCCTGGTGCGGGGCAGCGGTGCTCACCTGCGGAGGGAGGGGCAGGACCAGCTGCTCCTCAGACTGGGGGTGTCGAGGGCCAGCAGAGCGCCCTGTTGGACAGGGCAGGAGCCCGGGAACGGGCCCTGGGTGGACCCTGAAGGAAAGGTACACACTTTCTGTTTCACCTTTTATTGTGAGATTGTTGTAGGCTCACATGAGATCGCGAGGACTCAGGCAGACAGATCCCTGGCACCTGGCACCCCCACTGTGTTGGCATCTGCAGGGCCCCCAGATGTGCCCGTGTCCAAATCCCAAAGCCAGGATCTGTGCACGGGGCTTCGTTTGGAAAAGCGTCTCCGCAGGTGTGATGAAGGGAAGGCTCTCGAGATGAGGTCATCCCAGCCTGTCCAGCCCAGCGTCCAGTGACAAGTGTCCTTATAAGAGACAAGAGAGACAGGCACAGAAGAGGCGTCTCACCACGGAGGCAGAGATGGACGTGGCCACACGCCCAGGGACATCTGGAGCCCCCAGGAGCCGGGAGCGGAGGAAGGAGCCCCCTGCCCCCGGAGACTGCAGAGGGGCCGTGGTCCCCAGACACTTGATGTCAGATGTCCAGACTGCAGGAGAACACATCTGTGCTCCTAAGTCACCCAGGTTGGGACCATTTGTGACACAGCGGGGTGGACCCCTGCTCAGACCCGACCATCCCAGGAGACCGCAGGTCCGCGAGGGCTGAGCCGGGAGGAGGGTTCCCACCGTCCCTCCAGCCTCCTGCTCCCCAGCGCCCGCCCCCAGCGAGCTCACACACTGACGACCACAGCCGGGACTCCTTCTACTTCTTGTATCTGTGACACGTGTCTGGGGGACAGAGCCAGCGCTCAGGCCTCAGTGGGGCCCCGAGCCGGGCCGCGCTGAGCCGGGGTCCGCCGCCGCCCCTCCCGGGAAGCCGCAGCCCCTACCTTTGTCACCCAGGTAGATGATGTTCTGTGGCCCAATTCCGTATTTTTGGCAGATACTTTTAAACCTGTCCAGGAAGCTCTGGGGCAGTTCTTGAATCCGTCCTGAGGACAGAACGGCAGGGCGGGGGTCCTTCGGTGGTCTCAGGGGATGTGTGGGAGGGTCTCCGGGGGCTTCTGCAGCGCTGAGGTTCAGGGCGTGGCCACCCGGGCCCGGGCCGCCCTCACCCTGGGGTGGGACTTGACTGGGTGGACGGTGGTGGGCACCGTGGGGCGTGGCGGTGCCCCGGCAGGAAGGGGCCTGGGGAGGGGTCCGCGGAGTCCTGCCAGGCGCCGGCAGGCAGGCCCAGGGAGGCGGTACCGTAAAGCGCCAGCACGCGGGTCTCGGTGCCGTTGCTGACGTGGTGGAGGTGGAAGGTGATGTACATGTTGTAGTCGGTCTCGGAGATCAGCACCTTGTTTTTTCCCTTGTCTGTGTGGAGACGGGCTCAGAGCGGCCCGGGCCCCGCAGGCTGGGGTGGGTGTCAGGCCAGGAGGGTCTTGGCTGGGGTGGGTGGTGGGAGCTCAGGTGGCCAGTGCTCACCTCCCCGGGGGACGGTGCCAGGGGTCTTCCCAAGAGAGGGTACTGGGGCCCCTGGGACCGTGTGCTAGGCTAGGTCCTACCATGTGGGCTCAGGCCATCCAGGGGTCCCCTAAGCCCCCTGAATTGGAAGTGGCCAGGGCCCGAGGCACAGGAACGACCACTTACAGTCCAAGGTGTACTCCCCGTTCCTCTCTGTCTTCTCACAGACCATGGTCACCTCCACGCAGTCCCCGAGCAGCCTGCACCCCGGCCTGGTGAGCCCCGCGGCCTGCCCCCCACGCCCGCCCCTCCCCCCACGGTACCCCCCCAGGGTCAGAGGCTGGTCACGGGGCGCGCGGGAGCCGGGGTGCGGCGAGGGCGGCACTCACATGAAGTGGACGGAGAACTGGAGGCTGCCGTCTGGCAAGGCTTTGATGTTCTTGCTGAAGACCCTCAGGTCCCCGTTTTCGCCGATTCGGTTCATGTCGTTCGAGGCCATGGATACTGAGAGCCAGGTCCCTGAGACCTGCAGACAGAGACACCCCTGGTGGGGCCTGCGGGGCGGCGGTGGGACTGCTTGGGGCCTCCCTCCTGGGGCCAGACCCCGCAAACGGCTCCCAGCCAGGGCCCGCCGAGCCCTCCAGGGCCCCCGAGCCCTCCAGGGCCCCCAAGCCCTCCCAGGCTGCTGCCAGCTCGGGGAGGAGGGGGGCGCCCTGAGGGACAGCACCCTGCGGAGGTGAGAGACCCCGGTGAGGGGGACCGCTGTCCTGGTGCTGCCCGGAGGCTGGCCCCAGACCCACCTTGGCCATGTTGTAGTTCCTGCGCACGACGGATCGCAGGTTGAGCGTCTGGGCAGAGACCAGGCTCAGCCCCAGACTCAGCAGCAGCAGCGGTGCCATCCCCTCGGCGGGCACCCCGCCCGCGGCCCACCCCTTTATACCCTCGGCCCTGCGGTTTCCGGTCCCCGCCACACTGCCTCCTCCACACCCTGGGAACGCGGCCAAGGCCAGGTGGCAGCTGCCCCCTCCGCTCACGGACGTCCAGCAGCAGCGGCCCCCCCGCAGTCTGCTCGGCCGGGCGTCTGGCTGGGCCAGAGGGACGGGCAGAGTAAGCAGCCCAGGTGCCCTGCCCCCACCCCGCTGCAGAGGCTGGGAGGACCCTGGGGCCTCACTGGCCTGCATGTGCCCATCGAGGGCATTTCGGGGCCTCATGCACGGCTCTGGGGTGCCCTGGCCTCGAGGACATGACTGTGACATTGGGGCGAAACCCCACAGAGTCCTGGAAGGGAGAACTCCAAAGGGTGAGGGGTCCAGGCTGTGGGGCCAGGACGGGAGAGAGATTTGGGGTTTGAGGAGTGAGGACTGAAGGAGACATGGGGTCAGACAGGTGCCTCGTCCTGGCCGCGCCCCAGAGCTGGGAAGGGAAGCCCCCCATCTCCCCGTGTTCAGACACAAGGTGAGCTGCTGGTCGGGGTGGGCGGCTGAGCTGGACTGACCAGGACGCTGGCTACCAGACCCTATTTCGCACAGCAGGTGACAGACAGCAGTGACCCGCCCGCCCACTTCCTCTCCGACCACTGGCCTTCCTTCCCTCACCCCATCCCGCAGTCCCTGCGAAATCCTCTGTGCCCCCAACCTGTCGAGTGTGGCTCCCGGGACACGCCCCCAGTGCTCTGCCACACTCTCCGTCCCTGCGGACATGGCACCTGTCCACGGACTCAGCCCTGAGGCACCCACGCAGGTGGCCCGGGCAGCACGGGTCCCTGGTCATCACATGGCCGGGCAAACCCAGCCCTCTGGGAGCTGCAAGGGAGCCCGGCGAGTCCAACCGCCCGCCACCCACCGTCTCACCTGGGAACAGGTGTCCGAGCAGGTGCCGTTGCCTCAGCCTCCCTCCATCTCAGGGATGCTCTCCAGGGGAGCTCCAGGCAGCTGCCGAGGGCGCTGTGAATGGGGGACCACCTGGTGGGAACTTGGGGGTGAGCAGGTGCCGGTGGGAGACCAGACCGGCTCCTCCGGGGCCTCCTGCCTGGCCAGTGCCGGCCAGATTGCCCGAGCTCCACAGGGGCACTGGCTTTGGGTCTGAAGCGAGGTGGAGGGACACCACTGGCAACTTCGAGTGAGTGGGGTGCCCCCACCCCTGCCTGCCCCTGCCTGCACTCTGGAGAAACGGCCTTCAACACACACTCTGACGGCCCTCTGTCATGTTGGGAGCTTTAATTACATGGTCGACAGTGTCCCCCGTAGTATCTGGGAGACTGAGGGCCCCGGGGGAGGAGCTTGGGGGGCAGAGGGCCGAGAGCCAGGGCGGCCACCGCGAGAGGACCCCTCTGCTGTTTCCAGCTCCCCGCTTGTATTCGGTGGTGACCACGGGAAACGGCCCACGTGTGTGCATGTTACGTTCTCAATACTAAAAGCAAATCTGTTTCCAAAGGGGAGGGTCCGAGTCACAGGCACACGAGTCGAGGTGGCGTCTCAAGGGGGGAGGACGCGAGATGACGCCTCCGGGTAGTGTGGTTTCTGTAACCAGAAAGAGAAGCACTTACAACACGGAGGAACAGAAGGGGATGCTGGGGGTGAACAGGACACGGTCTGGAGGACAAGATGGGAGGCAGGCTGTCCCCTCCCCCCCGCGGCTCCCCTCCACCCTGTGCCCCCCGCCCCCTGCCCCCCGCGGCCCCCCCACCACCATGGCATGAACACATCCCACCCACAGCTTCTCCCGGGAGCAGGGGCCAGCACAGGAAACAACTTGTTTACAAATGTCCTTTACTCACCCGGCCAGTGTGGCTCAGTGGTTGAGCATCGACCCTGCACCAAGAGGTCGCCGGTTCGATTCCCGGTCAGGGCACAGGCCCAGGTTGTGGGCCTGATCCCCAGTAGGGGGCGTGCAGGAGGCAACCAGTCGATGTTCTCTCTCATCGATGTTTCTCTCTCTCTCCCTCTCCCTTCCTCTCTGTCCACTAAAATCAATAAAGATAAAAAAGCTGAAAGCCTTAGTCGACCTGTTTGAAGAACCACAGACGTCCTGCGCTCAAGCGGACAAGGCCATTGCCGACGGGCAACCCAGAGAAGCCCGTGCTGACGAGCCGTCATGGTGACGGACTGCCCCTCGCCCGGGTCATCAAAGGGCCTGCTGACATCACCGTGCACAGAAGGCTCGCCATGGGAGCGGGGACGTGCGGCCCAGACGGACGCTGGGAAATGTGTGCCCCCCCAGGACATCTGCGGTGTCTCCTACTCTAACCCAGGTAAAGGGGCCCCTCGGAGGGGCGTGGGGAGTCTGGGTGTTGTCACTGGAGGAACCTCGTCCTGCCCCGCCCGTGTGGCCTTCCTTCGATGTCACATTTGGGGGCATGAGCGCCGCCCAGGGCCGACTGTCCAGGAACTGCCGTGGAAACAGACCACGAGCCGCATCCGTGATGCCCAGTTTCCTAGCAGAAAACACATCACGAGAGGCAGAAAGAAGCAGGTGAAATAGTCTTCAGCATATGCGTGTTTCGTTCCGCCGTCCTGACCCCCACTGTGCCCGTACTGACCCATGTAAAACCACACACGGGACACTTACCTTCTTTTGTCTTCAAGCCAGTGTGTTCGGTCCGCTCAGGGAGCTCGCACGTTGGATGAGCCACGGCTCCGTGGACGCGTGGCGTGTGGCTGCCGAGCTGGTGGACACAGGTGTGAAGAGCTCACTGTCCCCTGGGCGCTTGGGAGCGAGCACCAGGAGCTCACGTGGCCGGTGGCCTGGTCCCGGCAGACCTGGGACAGGCGCCGTGGAAACCACACGGGCAGGAGGGGCCGGGCTGGACAGGGTCCACGTCAGCACACGACGCCTCCGACTTAGACGCTAATCCAGGTACGAGCATCTACCCTGCCAGCCTGAGTGTGCTTGGACAGCGTGGTCGTGGGTCACATGGTCCACACTGCTGTCTCTGGGAGGAAGGAGGGCCAAGGGTCAGCCGTGGGGTCGCCGCATCCTGGGCAGGAGCCCGTGGCATTCCCCAGCTGTGCAGCGGACACGGTCGCTGAATTTTTTCACGCACGAGGTGGACGCTCCAGGGAGCAGGGCTGCCGAGCTGTGCATGCGAACCTCTGAGCAGGTTCCCGAGCAGAGGCTGACCCGGCTGGGTGCTGGGGAGCAGGCGCCTTCTGTCCGGGAACCGGCAGCGAGCAGGCGGTGGAGGGGCGAGTCCTGACCGTGGAGGTCCACGTCTCCCTCTGTCCCCAGATGAGGAGTTCCACGGGGAAGTTCCTGCTACTGGCCTTGCTGGTTCTGTGTCTCCTGCTGGGGCTGCCTCATCTCAGGTGAGTGAAGATGCTGTGACCGGGCTGCCTGGCCGAGTCCGGTCTCCCCGCCGGGTCTGTCCTGAGACGCTCACCACACGTTGGGGACCGAGGAGACGTGGTGTCCTCACCGTGGCGCAAGGACGCGCATGTCCGTTCTTCCTTCTTGAACGTGCAGTGGTCACGCACCGAGCACCGTCGGCTGCCGAGGGGCCCCAGCGACTCAGTGACGAGGCCGAGACAGGGCCCTGGGCGGGGGTGCTGAGGAGGGCGGAGCTGGGCTGGCAGGTGTCACGGTGCAGAATCGCAGAAGCAGGTGTTGACACCATGGCTTCTGTGCCCCGAGCTTCGTGCTGTCTCTGCCTGTGGGCTGCACCCGAAGGGGAGGGTGGGGGGGGAGCGGGTCGAGCTCACCTCCTCGGTGACAGTGACAGGCGCTCGTTGGCGGGAAGGAGGCTGCAGGCCATGCGCAGTCCTGGGCCGACTGTCGTGTGGCGCCCCCCCGGCAGGTGTAAGTGCTCAGTGATTATTTGCTTAGAAAGTGAATAAATGCATCTGGTTTCTAGATTCTTTTTGGTGATTCAAATGGCAGTAGGTCATGTTCACATTCAAAACGTCAATGTGTTTCTCATGTAAAGAATGTCATCTCCTGACAGAATTGACCAAGTTAGCAAAGGGAGCTACCTGAACCCCTGGAGCAGCAGTGGCCGGGCACCATCTGGGCATCCGTGGGCTGAGACCCCCAACGGGACGGGAGCCCTGTGGGGTCTGTGCTGTGACAAGACCCACACGCTGGGAAGCACAAGTGGGGGAGCCGAGCGGTCCAACAGATGCATCCCCAGTAGCACCCCGTGTTGGCTTCCTGCCTGAGGGTCACAAATAGTCTCTGTGTGAGCGTACCTGCAGGTTCCAGGGGTGTGCACGTGTGTATGCCTGCACAGGTGTGAGTGTGTGTGCATGTGCTCGTGCGTGTGCACACGCACATGTGTACATGTATACAGGTGTGAGTGTGTGCGCGCACGTGCACGTGTGCGGGTGTGTGCGTGCACGTGTGCTCACATGTGTGCATGTGGGTGGGTGTGTGCCCATGCATGTGGTTTTGTGTGTGTGCGCATGCATGTGTGCACATGTGTGTGGGTGTGAGGGTGTGTGTTTGCACATGCATGTGCATGTGGTTTTGCGTGTGTGCACGTGTGTGTTTGCATGTGTGCATGTTTGCTTGTGTGCATGTACATGTGTGCGCGTAGCAGGGAAGAGGCCAGACACGAGAGGGCAGCATTCAGGAGACGAAAGGTGCTGCCGTCCGCAGTCAGGGGCCAGGGGCCAGGAGGGCGTCTGTGGCTCACCCCGAAGGTCGGCGGCCCTCTGGCTTTGCAGGCTCTGTGGTGAGCAGATGTGAGCAGTTTTGTGTGACACTGGCTGAGCCCAGGCTTGTTGGGCCCGGACTGGAAACGACTGGATGTGTGAGAATGTGGTTTGGGCCGAGTCCAGTGGCAGAGGGGCCAGGGCCTGAGCAGCATGGCCACGGACGGCACCGCCCTGTGGCAGAGACCCCTCCGGCCCCACTGGCCCGGCCCCCCTACCCAGGGCCAGGCAGACTTGCTGTGGTTAACGTCTCCTTGGGTCAGGACGTCCCCCTCCATCCATGGTTCTGCTCGTCCATCCTTCCCTCGGACCCCAGGAGTTCATGACACCACCGTTTTATGAGAAGGGCAACTTTGCCCTGCCGGCGTGTCTCAGTGGTTGGACCTCGGCCAGCACACCGTGGGGCTGGGGCTCCATTCCCGTCAAGGGCGCGTGCCCGCCTGGGTTGCAGGGTCGATCCCCGACCCCCGAGGATCGCCGTCTCTCTCTCACATCAGTGTTTCTCTCTCCCTCCCATTCTATCTACAATGGGAGAAATAGCCGTGGGTGAGAATTAAATGAATAAATGCAAGGAGGTGACTTTTTCATAAGTTTTCCACTTATCACTTCATGTTTTTTGTGACATTTGTCCCAGGCCGTGTGGGTTTGGACGGTGTCATCCTAGGGAACCCGCTGGTGACGTATCTGGGACAGGGACACTTCTGATAATGTCATCATGGATGCTCCCTCAGAGCTGGTTCTTCTGTTTGCAAAACACCCCGGGTTATAGGAAGAAGTTGCCTGAGGCGCTTGATGATCGAATAATTAACAAACGCACAGTAATGTCGTAGACACGTAACAGGGCCATGCGTGAATCAAATCTGTGTTTTGTCTGGACGTACATTCTCAATCTGCTCTTAGTTGTTTTTTAATTTTTTTAAATCCTCACCCGAGGATATTTTCCCACTGATTTTCAGATAGAGTGGGAGGGAGAGAGAAACATCGATGTGAGAGAGACACATCGATGGGTTGCCTCCCACACGACCCCAGCCAGGGCCAGGGATCGGACCGAAACCGAGGTACATGCCCTTGACAGGAATCGAACCCTTGACTCTCTGGTCCTTGGGCCGATGCTCCAACCCCGAGCCACACCGGCTGGGCAGTCAGAAGTTTTTCATCGTCCCCACACCATGCTCCCTGCTCTCCTGCCTCTGGCCGTCACCTCCTCACCCTAACCCTTTCCTGACTCCCTGTTCCCTTCCAGACCAGGTGACCTGTCTCCTCTCCAAGGGGTTCCCCTGATCCCACGCTAGGCTGAACCTGCCACTTACGCTCCCAGAAGCCCTGACCCCAGTGAGCACTCATGTCTGGGACCCCCGGGCTCCTCTGGACTGGTGTCCCCAGGGCCGGTGCCAGGGCCGTCCGTCCACTGCTGTAGAAACAGCACCAACCACCTGCCAGGCCACGGGCTCGGCAAACGTCTGCTGAATGATCACAGCTGACACGATGTTCCCTTCGCTCCCAGGGATCCAGCAGAACTCCGGCTCTCAGACTGGTTCAACCCCAGGTAAGAACAGAACGCTGCCCCCACACAGTACACTCGGTGTGGACTGACGGGGTTATTCCCTGCGTCCTCAGGACCTCTGTGCAGACGAGTCTGCAGATGGGGGCAGTGTCATGTTTCTTTTTCCTGTCCGATGCCTGTGTTTTCCTTTTCTTGCCTTATTGCTGTGGCGCGTGCACTTCCTACTCTGTTGAGTGGGGGGCTGGTGAGAGCGGCATCCCTGCCTCGTTCCCGGTTGCAGGGAGAAAGTCAAAGACCCTTGAGTGTGATGTAGCTGTAGGCTTTTTAAAAAATGTTTTTATTGATTTTTTTAGAGAGAGAGGAAGGGGGAGAGAGAGAGAGACATCGACGTGACAGAGAAACAGAAATCAGCTGCCTCCTGCACGCCCCCTACTGGGGATCGAGCCCGGGATGTGCCCTGACCGGGAATCGAACCGGGACCTCTCAGTCTGTGGGATGAGCTCCATCCACTGAGCCACACGGCCAGGCTGCTGCAGAATGTTGTAGATGCTCTTTGTCAAGTGGAGGAACTTCTCTATTGCTATTTTCCTGAAAGTTTTCCTTCCTTCCTCCCTTCCTTCCTTCCTCCCTTTCTCCCTCCCTTCCTTCCTCTCTTTCTCTTTTCCTTCTTTCCTTTCTTTCTTTCTTTTCTTTTCTTTTTTTTTTATCACAAATGGGTGCTGGACTGTGTATACTGCGTATTTTCTGTGGGAACAATGGGAGAACGTACTGAATGGTTTCAGAGGTTGCGCCAGCTTCGTGTTTCTTAAATCCTGTGGCTCTTTTGTTATTGAAAGCACATCGGAGGTCGGTCTCCCTTGGCGGAGTGACCTGGTCATTTCTGCGGGTTCGTAGGGGCGAATGTGAAGCTCAGAAAAGCCCCCCCTCGACCTTGGCAAATGGAGGGACATGCCCGGCTTGTGCTCAGGCAGTGGCCCGAGAACACTGCTCCAGCCCAGGCAGCCAGAGTCCCGAGAAGGCGGGCCCGGGCTCCAAGGGCATCCGGTCAGTCACTCGACCAACCTGTGCCTCGGTTTCCCCGCAAGCAGAACAGGGATCGCGCAGGTGCCCGCTGGACGAGCAGCTCTGCCCTCCACGCGGCGCCCGCACGGGGCCGGCACGGCGGTCTTAGCTGCTCGCCTGGGCAGTCTCTGCCGTGGTCGCAGCCAACGCAGGGCCCGCTCCCTGCAGCCGACTGTCCTTTGCTCAACAGAAATCGTCCCGACGTGACAACGACCACCGACTGGCAGGCTCCGGTCATCTGGGAAGGCACCTTCGACAGGCGGGTCCTGCAGAGGTTCTACGGGAGACAGAACCTCACCGTGGGCCTGGCTGTCTTTGCCACCGGCAGGTAGGCCCGCGCGCCTTTGCCCGGTGTTGTCGGAGGCCCTTCTGCCTCCAGAGAACAGCATGTCATCCGTCACCACTGTTCCTGGGCCCTGGCCAGCGTCCCTTCTTCTGCTGGGTCATTCACTTTCTACCGACATCATTGAGCAGGAGCTCTTTCTCTCCAGCCATTGTCCACAAATGCGGACGGCTTTTCTCGGGCCGGCAGGGTCTGTTGCTCACCTGCAGCTCCTACTCCCACCCCGCCTGTCCCCTCCCCATCCCTGCCTGGCCGTGTTCCCAAGACCGATGACCCACGAGCTCAAGAAGTGACGCCTGTGCTCCGGCAAATACGTGTCTTCCTGTGGGCGTGTTTTGCAGGGTCGCCGACCGCTACCTGGACATGTTCTTAAAATCCGCAAACGAGCACTTCATGGTCGGGTACCCGGTCATCGTCTACGTCATGGTGGACAGCTCGTTCAAGCTGCCGTACCTACCGCCTGCGCCCCTCCGCACGTTCAGGGTCCTGGCCATCAAACAGGACGGCTGGTGGCCCGACCTCCACTTCCTGCGCATGAAGAACTTGGGCAAATACGTGGTCAGTCACATCCAGGAGGAAGCGGACTTCCTCTTCAGCATGAGCGTGGACCAGATCTTCCAGACGGACGTGGGGGTGGAGACGCTGGGCGCGGCCGTGGCTCAGCTCCACGCCTGGTGGTACTTCAGAGACAAGCAGGATTTCCCTTACGAGAGGGAGCTCAGGTCTGCAGCCTACATCCCGCTTGGAGAGGGGGACTTCTTCTACGACGGCGCGATGTTGGGGGGCACGCCCTCGCGGATCTTAGACCTGGTGGAAGCATACACGAACGGCGTCCTTCACGACTTCAACCAGGGGGTGCACAGCACCTACGAAAGGCACCTGAACAAATACTTTTTCCTGCACAAGCCCACCAAGCTGCTGTCGCCGGAATACAACTGGGACGCGGCGTTTTACCCGCCGCCGCCGATTCAGTACGTCAAGGTGCTGCAGCTCGCCAAGAAGGGCCTGTGACCCCAGCCCCACGCTCGGGCAGCCGGGCTACAGCTCCCTCGGCACCGGACACGGCCAGCTGTCCGGTCCTCCGACAGAAACACCTGCACCGTCCAACAGAGACCTTCCTTCTCGCGATGTTCAACCACCCAATTCGGCCAAAGCAGGACAAACAACGAAAGGGTGACGCCACTGTTAACTGCACAGTGATGGTCTGTACATTGTACAGGGCTGGGAGTACTTTGGAGGCGTGAAATAAAACATGTTTAATGAAGACTCTAGTTCAGGAAACACATGGACGCAGAGGGCCGAAGATGACGCGTAGAAGGAAAACTAAGCGTCCGTGAGCTCACTCAGGAGAGACACGGGCTGTGACTAAGCTTTGTGGGCTCTGGCCCTGTGTGAACGGACGGGGCTGACTTTCTGCAGACACATGTCCTCCCTTGATGGGTCCCAAGTTCATGTTTGCAAAGCTATAAGCTTTTCATTCTGTTGTTGTTTTTGTAATTATTTTTCTTTATTGATTTTTAGAGAGAGAGGAAGGGAGAGAGATAGCAACATCGACATGAGAGGGAAACATCCATCAGCCGCCTCCTGCACGCCCCCTGCTGGGGATCGAGCCCACAACCAGGCATGCGCCCTGACCCGGAGTCGAACCGGGACCTCTCAGTCCGTGGGACATGCGCAACCACTGCACCACACCAGCTGGGCAATAAGGTGTTCTTCTTAACCCTCTTTCATGGCATGAAAAACAGTTGAGTAAGTGTGTGCGTGGCCTGAATGTGTCCCCCCAAATGTGGATGGGGTAGCTCTAAGTCCCAGGACCTCAGAATGTGACTGCATTTGGAGATGGGGTATTTCTAGGGGTGACTAAGGTCAGATGTGGTCACTAGGGTGGCCCTGGTCCAGTAGGCATGATGACCTTATGAGAGAGGACATGTGGACAGACACAGGGGGTGGCACTGTGAGGTCACAGGGGACACAACATCCGAGTGCCCCAGGGAGAGGTCTGGGGAGGAGCCAGCCCTGCCCACACCTGGATCTCGGACGTCCCGTCTCCAGGACAGGGTCGCAGACCTCTGTGGTTGACGCCACCTGCCCACACCTGCCCAACCTGCCCACCACAAATCCATCTGCATGACCCCTTTCCTAAGACAGGTCAGAACTTTGATTCCTTCATCTGCCTCTCAGATCGGGTTTGCAGTTCGGGGAAAACATCCCGTTGGAACACTGATCAGATGGCTTTCAACGTCCCGGCTCACGTGAGGATTACGAAACATTCCCCCACTGAAGACTACGCGGGGATGTCATATATCTGTCGATACCAGTCATTCGATCTGTGTCCCAGAGGAAGGGTGAACAATGCCCCCTACAAACCCTGCAGATCCGCAGCAGGTGTGTGAGCCTCGCTGTGGTTAAACGCGTCCGTTACGACTTTCTTCTGGGTTTGCTGCTGAACTCGTCGCTGGCAGAATCCGTACCGGTGGCCGCCCTGCTGGCCTCCTGGAGGAGCTGGTCGTACCTGTCTCCCCGGCATTTCCAGACTTAAGTACTGAGGTCTGACCCAGTTTCCTGAGAGCCCGCCCGGCCGGTGGGTGGCCCCGGGCTCATCTGGGCAGAGGCGCGAACCTTCCATCCAGGCCCTGCCCTCGTACGCCCGCTGACTCACCTGCACGCAGGCGTGAGGGCCTGTTTACCTCAGGGCAGCTGTGCTTTCTGTGCCGCTCACCTGGGGACTGACCCCGAGCAGGACATGGGTGGGGGCAGGTCACAGGAGTGCCAACCTGCCCCTCACAGGGCCACCGTCCCCTCAGAGGTCACCATGGCTCCATGCACTGGACTGCAATGCTGTCCCCAGGTCGCGGCCCCTCCTCCTCACCCAGATGTTCTCAACCATCGGCCAGGCTGTGGGCACGTGACCCGCAGTGAGGGGCACATGTGACCCACAGTGAGGGGGCACGTGACCCACAGTGAGGGGGCGGCCAGGGGAGGGACAAGGGGGGGCGGGCTCAGGCTGGAAGGGCTCCTCCAGAAGCAGAGGGGTCAGGAAGGCACCGGGTAAGTCGGAGAGGGAGGTAAGAAGATTCTGGGGGTGTCCCTGACCTAGGCTTCAGGTGGGGGACACTGGGCTGTGGAGGGGAAAGAACAGGTGTTCATTCTAAGGTCATCCATTTATCTTGAAATCAATCAACCATCAGTCACGCACACCGCACATGGGATCACCTTGCCGTCTGCTGTCCAGCACCCCCAATGGCAGCCCCTCTGGACACAGCCGCCAAGCCCTCTCGGGGACCCCCCAGGACCCTCCCCAGTCCCTCTGATCCTGACACGGCCCACAAAGTCCCGCCTCAGGCAGCCTCCCCCAGCACCCCGGCTCCTCTCCTAACCCTGCAGCACAGCCATGACCGCTGCCTCCCGCCACCCCAACACTAGCCTCTAACAGATCTGCGAGGAGCTGGTGCCCCCTGGGACCTGCACAGGGCTGGAGAAGGTGTCTGTCGTGTTCCGCATGCAACCCTAACCCTGACTCTGACCATAACCCTAACCCTAACCCTGACCCTGACCCTAAACTTGAACCTAACCCTAACCCTAACCCTGACCCTGATCCTAACCCTAATCTTGACCCTAACCCTAACTCTGACCCTAACCCTGACTCTGACCATAACCCTAATCCTAATCCTAACCCTAACCCTGAACCTGACCTTGACCCTAACCCTGACACTGACCCTGATCTTGACCCTAACCCTGACCCTAACCCTAACCTTAGCCCTGACCCTAACCCTGACCCTGACCCTAACCCTAACCCTAACTCTGACCCTAACCCTAACCCTGACCCTGATCTTGACCCTAACCCTGACTAACTCTAACCTTAACCCTGACCGTGACCCTGACCCTAGCCCTAACCCTAACCGTAACCCTGACCCTGACCTCTAACAGGGCCTGGCCTGTTCATCGACTGCATGTTCCTGAGGGAGTGGGTGCAGAAAAAAGGAGGCCCTCCCTCAGCTCCTCCTCCCAGCTGTGTGGCCTTGGCCTTGGCCCTGAACCCCTCTGAGCCTCAGTGCCCACATCCACAGGTGGAGACACGTCTGTGCCCACGTCACCATGTTACAGAGACTCAGCTCAGGCAGTGAGGTGCCTGGTCCCGGCCTGGCCACACCGGCGCCGCCAAGGCTCTGGTCCTGTGGTCGCTAGTGGGGGTCCCAGGCCTGAAGATGGGTGCAGGGAGCCAGAGGGAGGGCGGGGTTACCGTCCAGGTTGAAGACAGGCGCTTCCTGCAGCCGGAATTCCCTGACGTACTCCAGGTACTGCCCCAGCCACTCGGGGTCCCCGGGCATTCTCCTGGCTGAAATGAGGGGACAGCTGGCCAGGGGCCGGAGCACGCAGAGGATGTGCTCGGACACGGCCCCTCCCCCGGCTCTAGGCTGGGCCCAGGCCCGGTTGGTGCTCTTCCCGCTGTGTCCTGGACAGACAGGGGGGCTCCTGCTCCCGGGGTCAGGCCACACCGGGCGAGGACAACCAGAGGGTCCTCTCTGCCCTGTGTGTGCCCTGGCACCCGCCCCACCCCACTGACCCTTCCCAGCCGATGGGGACCCTGGTGACATGGCCCCCACCCCTGGGCTCCCTGGACTCGGGCCCTGGCTCAGGAACACTCGGCTCCTCCCTTACCTCTGTCTACCCTTCCGGGCAATGTGCCCCTCCCCCTCCCCTGATAAATTCACTAGTGGACCACCTCCTGGTGGAGGACCGGGAGGGCTTTTACGGTCTGTCCACCAAGCCTCCAGCTCCCAGAACACACAGGGGGTGGAGAGGAGAGGCGGTATGAGTGTGAGGGGGACGATGGGCGCGGGGGCCGGGGGGCCAGCCTAGGGGCACGAGGGTGCAGCACCGAGCAGAGCCGCCCAGGCTGGCGACCGTGCCCTCAGAGCAGCGAGCGCTACGCACGCGGGGAGTGCCCCACGTTGGAGACACCACCTACCCAGCAGCGCCCACAGGCTGGTGACCTCGCCGCCGTCGTCCTCAAAGTGGACGTGAAGGATGAGGCTGCGGTAGTCGGTGCTGACGAAGTGAACCAGCATGCTGCCGCCTCCCTCGACTGTGCACAGGCCCACCGGTGACTGTGCCGCCTTCCCCTCCGCCCCCGGCCCCACCTGCCCGTGGGGAGCGCCGAGCGTGTCTCCTGGCACCCACACTTCCCTGCGACCAGCTGAGGGCCTCGAGTGTCCCCTCCCCCCAGCGTGGGACCCAGGCCCAGGGGCTGGACTACTCACAGGAGCCTTGGTACTGGCCTGGCTGCCCCGTGGGGTGGATGGTGACGCTGACTCTTCTGCACACGCTCTCTCCCCTGGACGAGGACGAGGGCTTACCTGTGGCCATCGCCCCTGCTCCTGTCCCAGCCCTGGTCCTGGCATGGTGCCAGCTCCGACTGCCCCCACAGAGGTCCCGGTGTCCACCTGAGGCCCTTGGCTCCCTGGGCTCTGAAGGGTCACCCAGCTGGGACAGGAGGGTGGGCGCTGGGGTCGGGAGGGCCAGAGGGCTGCAGGGGGGAACAGGCCCCCTGGCTGAGATGGGGGCCCTGACCATGAGTGCCCCCCACGACCTGCAGGGGTCGCGCTCACCTCCAGAACAAGACGAGCTCCAGGTCCCTGTCCCGGGTCTCAATGGAATGGAGAGCCAGCCGCAAGGGGTCTGTTGGGGAGACCAGGCGTGCCTGGCTGGCGGCCAGCCGGATGGTTAGCCAGCGTCCCTCCACCTGCAGGCGCAGGCACAGGGGCGGGTGAGGGTCCCGGAGCCTCCAGTCTGGGCTCTCGGCCCCCCACCAATGCTGAGCTCTGCCTGGGAGTGAATGTGGGGACTGGTGAATGCCCGCGAGCCCCATTTGGGGGTGGGCCACCTCCGTCCCCCCAGCCCCGCCCTGATGCCCTCTCGCCCTCTCCTGTACTTGGTTCGAGCACCATCCCTGCCACCTCACACGCTCTGGGGAGTCCAGGGAGGGTGCGGACGCCCTGGACCAGCACTGAGTCCTAAAAGTGCTGTCACTGCCCCGCCCAGCCAGCACCCTCCACGCCCGGCCCCCAGGGAATGGTGGTGGGCAGGGGTCACCCAGGACAGGAGTGACCCTGGGTCCCTCCTGCCCAGAGCCAGTGGCAGAAAGACCTCTCCAGCCCGGTGGGACAGCTCCGAGGAGCATCAGGGAGGCCGTGCTTGGGCCTGAAACGCCCCAGGACCGCACCTGCCTCTCTCCCTTTGTGTCTTGCCCACCTGCCCACCTGTCCTGAGCGAGGCCTCAGAGACATGGGCGCCCACGTCCGCGTCCCAGGGCCGAGGCTGGGAGCTGGGCCAGCACGGTTACCTTGTGGGCGTCAAAGCCCGGCTGCACCGGCACCCCTTCTAGAGTCTTCTGGGCGCTGGCCAAGCCCAGGCTGAGGGCCAGCAGCAGGAGGGGCCCCGTCTCCAGCGCCATGATCCCAGGGGCCCAGGGGGAGGGGAGGCCAGGCAGCCGGTGCCCTCTCTTCATACCTGGTCCCGGCCGGACTCCCTGAAGGTCCCAGAATTGTGCCCACGGGAAGGGCCCTGCCCACCTGTCTGAAGGGCATGTGGGCGTCAGTGCCGTCGGGCCAGTCTGCCCACATTGCGCATCTGTCCTGAGAACTGTGGGGCGGGAGGAGGACACAGGGTGGGTCTGCCCGTCCGGCAGGCTCAGCTCCCTCCTCCCAGCCGGTGCTCCTCCCGGGAGCACCCCTTCCCCTGCCAGCCGCCGAACCCTGTGCCCCTCCTCCCCTCCGCTGTCGGCAGGGGCGAGGGCACAAGGCACAAACCCCAGCAAGGTGCTCAGCACCCCGGCGCCCCTCCCGATGGCCACCCCCTCTCTTGCCCTGGGAGCCCCTGGGCCTGTCAGCCACTGCCCCGGGGCAGGCTTGCAGGTGGTCACAGCGCCTTTCTGGGGTCCACTGTCACCAGGGAGACCAGCTCCCCGAAACATCTCCCACTGTCAGCCCGGCCTCAGAGAGGTCACCAGAACCTTCCACCAAGGAGTGTCCTTCAGCGGCCAGGGTGGGTTCGGGGACCTCAGGTGGCAGCCCCACCTCGCCTCGGGGACTGGTCAGCCCCGGGAGGGGCGCAGCAGCTGTGTCTTGGCAGTGGGTCCCGGTGAGGGCGGGAGGGTGGTGCCTGGGCTGTGCCGGGCTCCCCCTGCAGGACGAGCAGGTGACGGTGCCCGTGCTCTCCAGGGTCGGGGGCGCAGGACAGTCACTGCAGAGTCGGGCTGACTCAGAGGCTATAGCTGAGTGTGACACCCAGCTGACATGTCCCCACAGACGAGACAGCAGGGCCCCAACGCCCCACAGGTCGCCCAAGGACGCTCACGAGACTCAGTTGTAAAATCCACACGGCCCTTGGGGACGGGGTTCCCCAGCGTCCCAGTGTCCTGGGTCAAAATGCAGACCTGTTCCTCTCATTTTTACCCCCCAAATTATTTCAGTTATTCTAGCGCCTCTGTCTTTCCATAGAAATCTTAGAATAATCTCACCCGTGTGCACGAAATCCTTGCGGGGATTTTGACGGGATTGCGTCCACATTGGGTGTCGATCGGAGGACTGACATTATAACATGAGATTGTCTGAGTCTGCCCATCCGTGAGCGCTGAGTCTCCCCGCTAATTTAGATCTGGGTGTTTTTTCTAATTTTTATCAGCAGCCTATCATCTTCAGTGTACAGACCCTGTACATATTTCCTTGGGGTTCTGGCCCAATGTTCCTTTCTCCTGAGTGATTATAAATGGTATTTTAAAAAAATCCTCACCAGAGGATATTCTTCCATTTATCTTCAGAGAGAGTGCGACAGGGAGGGAGAGGGGGCAGGGGAGAGAAACATTGACATGAGAGGGACACACGGATGGGCTGCCTCCCACACAACCCCAACCGGAGCCCGGGATTGAACCACAACCGAGGTACGTGCCCTTGACCGAAATCGAACCCTTGACTCTGGTCCGCGGGCCGATGCGCCAACCGCTGAGCCAGACCGGCCAGGGCTGGTACTGTATTTTTAATTCCACATGTCCACTGCGAGTTCATAGACATGCGTTGATTTCTGTATGTTTATCCTGTACCCAGCCACCTTGGTGAACTCCCGCATTAGCTCCGGGTTTTGTGGACCCTCCTGGGGATGCTCTACGTGGACAGTCATGCCGTCGGCAAATGGAGATTCTCTACCTCTTCCTTTCCGATCTGCGTGCCTTTTATTACCGTCCCTCGACCAGTTGCCCTGGCTAGACCTTCCTGAATAAGGGGACGAGAGTGGACACCCTTGCCGTGTCCTGGATCATCCATCATGTGTCACCAAGGAACGCACCCATCGTCCCCATTCGGTGCAATGCTGAGTCTAGGCTTTTTCTTTTCTTTTTTTTTTTTTATCCTCACCCGAGGACATTTTTCCTTTTCTTGTACAGACAGAGTGGGAGGGAGAGAGAGGAAGAGAGAGAGAGGGAAACATCGATGTGAAGGGACACATCGAGTGGCTGCCACCCGCACGACCAACCAGGGCCGGGGACAAACTGCAACCGAGGTCCGTGCCCTTAGCGGAAACCGAACCCGGGTCTCTCCGGACCGCAGGTGGACGTTCTAACCTGAGCCAAACCGGCCAGCGCTAGGCTTTTTCTTTTTAGATGCCCTTATCAAATCAAGAAGCTCCCTCTGTTCCTATTTCCCTGCGCTTTTAAAAAACATTTTTTTTTTTAAATCATGAATGAGTATTGAATTTGGTCAGATGCTTTTTCTACGTTGCTAGATGGGATTGTGTGATTTCTCCTGGTAACACGGGGGGTTACATGGATTGATTTTCAAGGGCTGAACCCACCTTGCAGCCCTGGCATAGACTCTGCTTAGCTAGGCCGTATATTTCTTTCCATGTATCCCTGGCATCTATCTGCTGATCGGTTGTTGAGGATCATTGCCTCTATGTTAATGGGAAACATCGGTCTGTTCTCAAATAATCTCTGTGGGGTTTTGGGAGCAGAGTAATGTCAGCTTCATGCAATGAGTTGGGAAGCACGCTCTGTCCTTCTCGAGACTCGTTCGTGCTAATTCTTCTTCACACAGTTGGTGCAAGTGTCCTGAGGAGACATCTGGGCCTGAACATTTCTTTCCGGGGAGTTTTAAAAATAGAAATTCCATTTTTAAAATACCTGTGGGACTCTTCACACTCTCTAGTCCGTAGTGGATGAGTCGTGGCTGTGTGACCTCCTGAGGAATCGGTCCATGTCGTCTGTCGTCCAGTATGCGTCCAGAGCATGGCTTTCCCGTACTATTCGTCTGATGTCCGAGGGGTCACTGCCGATATTGGTAATCTGTGTCTTCCCTCTTTTTGGCTTTGTCCAGCTAGGAGTTCCCTCCCCCACGTTTATGTCTCCTCGCTCTTTGATGGCCTTGCTGCGCCGAGACTTTCACCGAGATGTTGATAGGACAACTGAGCCTCGTTCTCAGTGCGGTGTCTCTCGGCTGCCAGGGGCCATCACAACGCCACGAACTACAGGCTTTGACTGAGGGGGAGCATCGCAAGGGAGCAAATGCTCCAGATCTCTGAATGCAGCCCAATTTATTTGCAAAGTGGTTCCCCAGGTTATGTGTTGTTTTAGGTGATTTTTTCCTTGATGCGGTCTCTGCTGACCACAGAGCCAAGCCCTGTCTCTCGCTTTTCTCAGTGAAGAGACATCAAAGGAATTATAAAACAACAAGCCCATTCACACCAGGGCAGTCTCACCCACTATCCTTTTGGGGCAGTTTTTCTGCCCTTTGACATGCAAACCTATTCTATTTCACATGTAAACAACCCAATCCGTTCAAACAGGGCTGTTTTCCTGCCCATCAAGCAAACTGTATCTATTTTCATGCTTTGATCCTTGGCTGGCCAGGTCTTGAGAATGCATATCCCAAGGTTACATTTTGTTCATCCACCAAACCCCCATCTCTACATCTTAGTTTCTGGGGGAAAGCAGTTAGTCTCCTCCCAATACATATGATGTTGGCTGGTTTAACCAAACGTTATTCATTTGAAGGTGTCCTGTCTATTCCGAGATCGGATGCACTTTCTGGCTCTTTCTGGGTGACAGGTTGGGGAGCAGGTGAAGCCTGCCTTTCAGGACAGAGTGTGAAATGGACGGTGCGAGGCCCTCGGCCCATCTGCGTTTGCGCTTTGGCGTGGTGACCAACAACCTCGTGGGCAAGGGGCTGTTTGATCACCGGGGTCCGGGGTGACCATGGACAGCCCTGCTAATCTGCACACAAGAAATAAGCCTTTAGTATCTGAGGCCACTGGGATTTTAGGGTTGTTTGTTGATGCAATGTAGGCTTGTGTTGGGTGACACTCTGCTTTTGTTGTTGTTGTAGTTCATCCTCACCAGAGAATATTTTTTTCTATTGACTTCTAGAGAGAGTGGAAGGAAGGGAGGGAGAGGGAGAGAGAGAAACATTAATGTAAGAGAGACATCGATCGGTTGCCTCCTGCAGGGGCCAAAGATGGAATCTGCAACCCAGGTACATGCCCTTGACTAGAAATCGAGCCCTCGACCCCTTGGTATGCAGGCCAACACCCTAACCACTGAGCAGCACCAGCCAGGGTTGGGTGACACTCTTGCTGTGTGAAGAATCTGCCTCATTCATGGGATACAGCGTTTTTGAAATATTTTTTTTTTTTTTTTTTAATCCTCACCCGAGGCTATTTTTCTATTTTTTGCTCAGATAGAGTGGGAGGGAGAGAGAGGAAGGGAGAGAGAGAGAAACATCGACGTGAAGGGACACATCGAGTGGCTGCCACCCGCACGACCAACCAGGGCCGGGGACAAACTGCAACCGAGGTACGTGCCCTTAGCGGGAACCGAACCCGGGTCTCTCTGTACCGCAGGCCGACGCTCTAACCGCTGAGCCAAACTGGCCAGGGCTGAAATATTTTTTAATCCATTAAAGGCACTTATCATCAAACAACAGCTGTTGGCGAGGGTGTGGAGAAAAGGGGACACCAGTACACTGCTGGTGGGAATGCAGACTGGTGCAGCCACTATGGAAAAGTTACCCCAAAAAGTTAAAAGTTGAACTGCTATTTGACCCAGTGATCCCACTTCTAAGAATATATCCTAAGAAGCCTGAAACAGCATTCAGAAAGAATATATGTACCCCTATGTTCATAGCAGCACTATTTACAATAGCTAAGATCTAGAAACAGCCCAAGTGTCCATCAGTAGACGAATGGATAAAAAAGCAGTGGTACATGTACACAATGGAGTACTATGCAGCTGTAAGAAAGATCTCTTATCCTTTGAGACGACATGGAAGGACCTGGAGAGTATTATGCTAAATGAAACAAGCCAAGCGGAGAAAGACAAATATCACATGATCTCACTTATCTGTGGAATATAATGAACTAAACAAACTGATGAACAAAATTGACCCAGAGACATAGAGGTGGGGTACAGACTGACAAACCCCAGAAGAGGAGGTGTTGGGGGGAAAGAAATAAACCACAGAACTTATATGCATGTGTGCGTAATCAATGGACATGGACAACAAAGCTGGGGAAGGGGTGAGGGGGATGGAGAGGAGGTTGTGTCAATGGGGGGAAAAGGAGAAACATCTGTAACAAAAACAAATTAATAAAAAGATTTTTTTTTTTTAAAAAAGGCACTTATATGAGCATGTCTCCCTGAAGCAGTTCAGTTAGTGAATTTTTCATATAGTTTCTAATATAAAAAGCCTTGATTTTCAATGTTAAAATCTGATGGATCACATACATTGCTACATTCAACCCGCTCCTAAATTATTTATATATTTGTGTCTTTTTTTTGTTTTTAATCCTCACCGGAGAATGATATTTTTCTATTTATCTTCAGATAGAGTGGGAGGGGGAGAGAGAGAGACATTGACGTGAGAGGGACACATGGACGGGTTGCCTCCCACAGGACCCTGGCCAGGCCCGGGATTGAACCACAACCGAAGTCCATGCCCTTGGCCGGAATTGAACCTGCGACTCATTGGTCCGTGGGCCGACCCTCTACCGCCAAGCCAAACCGGCCAGGGCTTATGTATGTGTAACGGGGATGGCGACAGTCTCCCTTCTCACCTGCGTCACCCTCGGCAGCGTGTTCTAGAACCAACGTCTCCTGTCCAGGCACCAGCACCCGCGCACCGAGAACAAGGGGAACCGAGCGTCATGTCTGTCAAGGAAGCTCTACGGTTTTCTTGTCCAGCCAGTATCGGTCGGGGATATTTTCCTAGAAATGTATCCATCCCATCTATATTTTTAAGACTTCCGTAGTATACAAAAACTGGTATGTATGTGTTCCTTACCTATTTATATAAAAGGATACATATCACGATATGTGTATACACTGTTACACCACGTGTAACAAATTGTTCTTATTTGAAAATCCGTTTCTGTTACTACAGACTGTCCTTCCATTTGTGATGCTACAAAGTTTGTGAAAGACAGACGTGTTTCCTTTCCACGCCTGTGCCCCGTTCCTCCCTCTGGGAGAAATCACTCCTTCTCACGTCCGCCCAGAAGAGATGGGCTTTCCGTACCGACTCCTCCGTGCAGCAGTGACCCCTATCTCCTGGAGGGCGCCTTTGGGGGCCACAGGGCATGTGGTCCTTTCCTCCCTCGATCAGAGGGACTTGCCCCCCTCCATGAGCAGTGCCAGGGACTGCGGGCTGCATTTTTAAGAGTGCAGATTGCTGTGCAGGTCACGCACGTGAGTGTTTCTGCAGAGAGTTAGCTCTAGGTTAAGGGACCAGTCAGCTTCATCGCTTGCCCTTTGTGAAGCTTTGGTGCTGGCAGGACTGCAGCGCTAACCCCGGAGCCACCTCTGAGGCTCATCAGGTCCTGACCGCTGAAAGAACCTGTCACGTGCACTGACCCCAAGTGCCCCGAGGCCCATGAGGCAGAGGCCCTGCCCTGGCCCTGCCTGGCCCTGCCCCTGCCCCCTGCCCCTGCCCCACACCCATCGCCAGGAAAGACTCGGGCACACAGCCTGGCTGGTGAGTTTCTTTATTGCTCAAGGGGGCTGCCCAGAGCAGCAGGTCCCAGGCTGGGACCCAGGGGTGCCTGGGTCCTGGGAGGAGTGGCGTCCAGCAGCCTCCATGGGTCAGTCCCTCCTAAGTCCTCTGACCTGGGAGGAGGGGGTGATGTCGTCTCTGCAGAGGGGCCGAGGCTCCTGAAATGGACAAGGGGTCCCCTGTGATTCCTGGGACCCTTCAGGATGGACCCTCACCAGCCCCTCCCCACTGGGGGTGCAGACGGCCCCTCCTGTGGGAGACAGAGCCCCGCCTCACCCCACCTCAGGTTGAGTGACCGCCCCACCTTCCTCGCCCCCACCTTCGCCCAGTAGGAGCAGTGAGCCCTCAGCGTGTGTGTGGCCAGGGCGCAGGGAGCACATCCCAGCAATTCAAGGCCACTCCCGAGAGGCAGGCGGCCAGCCTCCGTCCCAAGCCCCCCAGGAGAGACCCCAGGTGCCAGCCATTCCAGCAGAGCGTGGGCAACAGAGGGGTGTGGGCCCCAGGAATGTCCCCACCCCCATGCTTAGGACGGGGGACAGGGCGGGTGCGTTACCCTGGGAGGCGGTCGGTGTGAGCTCCTCTAGACCAGGCACCTCTCTGTGGGGGAGGGGCAGGAGGGAGGTCACAGGTGAGCCAGGACAGAGGGGTCTGCACCCCACCTCCCACCCACCTGCAAGGCATGGGGGGGCGGCCCTGGGGAAAGACGCCCCCGTGGGCAGGGCTTTCTGGCTGGAAGCCGCGGGCCGGGGTGGTGGTCACCTTTCGCCCGGGTCGGGGTGAAGTGGAGCTGGATGTGGCTGGGCAGCAGCTTCATGGCACTGTCGAACTTCTCCATGGCCTCCTCGCTGAGCTTCGGGGTCCTGGCTGCGGGGCAGGGGTCAGTCCCTGGGCCGTGGGGCCTGGATGAGAGCTAGGGCCCGGGGACCTGGCCGGGACGCGCTCGGGAAGGACACGCCCACATCTGGAGGTCGGCAGGCTTGACCCGGCCCCGCTCCCCAGGGTGGTCTCCAGCGCTCAGCACACCTGTCCTCCGGGCCCTGTTCCCTCCGCCCAGCCCGCCTCCTCCTCTCAGGACCGTGCTGGGGTCTCAGAGCCACACCAGACGAGGGCCTGTGCAGCCTCCACCGCCTGGCCGGCTGCTCTGATGGACCAGGGCATCTTCACGGCCCAGCACCTGTGACGCCCACGGGAGCCCTGGGGATGCCCGAGCGCAGCGCCTCTGTGGCAGGGGACTGTCCCTCCCATCTGTCCTCATTATAGTTTAAAGGTGTTTTGTAGCTGACTTCCTAGGCGGTGCCAAAACCTGTGGGACCCACAGTGACCCGGGGCTGCCTGAGGCTGTCCTGCCCACCTCAGGGCTCATCGCCCACCCACCCCCCAGCCCGAGGGCAGCCCCTGTCACCAGCCACCCGCCGTCCCAGCACTTGCCCATCCTCTCCCCCCGGGACCTGGGGGCCCTCCCCTCCCCCCTCACAGTGGGACCTCTGTCCAGCCTCTCGGGAAGCCGGGGGCGGGGCACGCACCCAGGTACTGGCAGGCCAGGCTCTGCTCCAGGGAGGCAGCGCCCTCGATGCACAGGAACGCGAAGTTCTCGTAGTCGGTGTCCACCACCTGGACCGCGCCGCCCATCGGGTCTGCAAGAGGGACCAGCGGGGTGAGGTCAGTCTTCTCTGCGGCCGGAGAGGGAGGGCAGGTCGGCGCCCCTGCATGGCCGCCGGGCGACCACCAGGGGACGACAAGGCACAGCCGTTCCCCAGAGCGCCCCTGGCACAGGGCCTGAGCGCCCTCACCTGAGACGTCTGCCACCTGCCGGACTGGACTTCGGTCCTCGCTCAGTCCAGCAGGGCCCCCACCCGAGTCCTGGCACCCACAGTGGGCGTGAAACGGGGCTTCCATGCTGGTCTGGGTGGGAGCCTGGGCCCCCGGGCGAGGCAGTGGGGTCGACCTGAGACGCGGTCACAGCCGAGGGGCAGCAGCCCCGGAGCGGGCACCTACCCTTGACCTTGAACTGGGTGGGGTCCTCAGTTTTCTCCGCAAAGATCTTCTTCTCCACACAGCTGCTGCCCTCCCTGGAAGACAGCGCCCGTGAGCCGCCCGCACAGACCCCTGTGGCAGCCACCCGAAGGGGCCGGGAGACGCCAGGCTCCAGGAGGCCTCAGGCTCTGAGCTGGCCACCTGCTCAGACGGCGCTCACTGCAACCTCCCGTGGCCATGACAGCTCAGACGTGGCCGAAGGGCAGGGGCGTTGACCTGTGTTCAGATGGCATCTCCACCCCCACCCTGCTCTCTCTGGCACCCCCACTCCTCTCCAGGGCAGACAGGGCCATCGCAGGAGTGCCCAGGTCCTGACCCCAGCGCAGCTGACCAGGGGCCTCCACACAGGCCTCTCCCCACAGTGACCCCAGAGTCGCTCTGTGTGGTTGGCCTGCGGGCCCAGAGCCCTCGGCAGGTGCTCCAAGGGGACCAGGAACCTACAAGCCCCTCTCCCCGCCCCCGGGGCTCCATGCCCCCCATCAGGAGCCTGGCTGCCCACAGCCCTGTGCCAGGCCCCGCCCGCCCGCAGCCGGGCACCCACCATCTGTGCACAATGATCTCCAGGTTGCCCTCGGGGGTGGGCCTCAGCTCCTTGAGGTGCAGTCTCAGGGGGGCGCCCTCGGTGTTCAGCAGGGTGAAGTCGCTGGCCGCCATGACCATGGAGTACCAGGTCCCGGCCACCTGGGAGGGGAGACAATAAGTCTGTTGTTTCAGCCGCTGTCCGTCCCCGGAGAAGTCATGCAGACCCGGACGTCACAGCCCCTCTGTCCTCTGAGGCCCAGTGTCCCCACCTGCTCCAGCTCAGCACCCACCCAGCCCCCCGCGGCAGAGCAGCCCCGTCCCCAAACCTTCTGGATGTCCAGGTCCCCCGTGATCTGGGGGACGTTGGTGTCCTGGCTGCCGCACACCAGGGCCACACTCAGGGCGAGCAGGAGACACTTCATGGCTGCGGCGGAGGGGCCTTCTGAACTGGAGGAGCTGGAGCGAGAAGGCCGAGGCAGCGGGCTCCAGGCCTTATATCAGGGGAGGGGGCCCGGCCAGCAGCGTGTGGCCCCCAGCCATGGGTTCCCCGAATTCCTGAGGCTCACCCCAGCCCTCGGGTGGCTTCCTCGACTGGGACAATAGGCCCTCTTCCCTCTGAGTCGGAACAGGAAGGTCCCCGTGTCCCCAGGGCCTGGGAAGTTCCTGGTAGAACTCAGAAGAGAAGGTTCAGGGTGGGGGCCCAGGCTGGCCGCCAGCATGAGGGACTGACTCTTCCTGGGTCAGGCTCTGGACAGTGACAGGTCAGCGCCAACACCGAGGTCATCTGTGTCCCGGAGGGTGGGCCCCATGGCCCGAGAGGCCCATGCCAGCCCTGGGATCCCCAAACATTGGGTCAGTGTGGCCATCTGCCCCCCTTCACTCCCTCCCACCCACCCCAGGTGCCCCGCTCCCCGCCCAGCGGGATGCTTGTCCTGGAAAGTCTGTGGTCCCTCTGGGTCTCCTCCGAAGTCTGCCTTTGTCTCCTGCCCGGGCACCGGCTCCCGCACAGCCTTCGGCCGCCATGGTCTTGGCGGTCACCTCCCCCGACTCCATCAGGGGAGGGTGAAGTGAGCTCCCAGGTGTGCCCGGCGGTGGTGGGCGCCCTGAACATGTTTGCTGCTCAGAGTGAAAATAATGGCACCAGCCACGAAGTGACCGTCACAGAATCGCAGGTCACCCAGATGGGAAAGAGACCTGCCCTCGGGCCTGGCTGACCGCCAGGCGACCCTGACTCACTCGGAGTGGACACAGAGGAAGGTGTCTTGCTGATTCTACCTTGGCCAACAGCACCATGGTGGGGACGTGCGAGCCCTGTGCCCCGTGTGAGGGGGTACCCGTGTGAGGGGGTACCCGTGGGGGGTGTCTGTGGGAGGTGCCCGTGTGGGGGACCCTGTATCGGGGGTACCCTGTGGGAGGGTACATGTGTGAGGGGGTACCAAGGCCATGGCCTGACATCCCATGTGGTTGGCCTGCTCACCTCGGGGGAGGGGTGGCACTGGGAGAGGGGAGCAAGGAGGGTCACTGTGCCTGCAAGGTGTCTCCGAGGGGAGCAGCCTGCTCCTGGAGGTGGGGGCCCTGGAGGGTCATCCTCCGGGCCTGTCCAGGTGGCCCATGGCCTGTGTGGGGCCTCGTCCACCATCCTCAGCGTCTCCTCGGCCAGCTTCTCTCCCGCGGAAGCCATTTCATCTGGTGCCCGGTAAATGCCCAGGCCCAGGAGAGCTGACCCTAGGATGCCCAGCGTCCTTTGATAAGGGGGGCCCGAGAAGGAGGGCCCATGTAGCCCCAGCCCAGGGGACAGCTCAGACACTGTCCTCCCGTCGTGGGGACTGACACCCGCGGACTCTGCTCCTCCCGGGACAGGTGCCAGTCCCAGCTCAGCGGGTCACTTCTGAGTCTGATGAAACTTGGTGGGAAGTGGGGTCAATGGGGGACAGTGGGAAACGGGGTCACGGACGCTCAGCTGGGATGGTGGTGAGACAAACTTCCCGGCACCTGCCAGCGGGCGCTGGGCACAGCGACCCGGCCCTGCCCGCCTGTCTCCTGGAGCTCCGCGAACCAGCCTGTGGCTCCGTCTTCTGGTTTCCTCGCTTTTCGAAGAGCAGCTCAGCGGCTGCTGTGGCCCAGAAACTCGTGTGCACCGGAGACCTCAGGGTGGCCGCAGTGCAGATGAGGCCACACCACAGTGCGCCCTAGTCTGGAGCCTGGGGTCCTTCTCAGAGAACAGGGGACAGACGGGGGGCCCCGGGAGAAGACTGTGATGACAAAGGCGGATGTGGCTACGAGCTGGAAGAGGCAGGAAGGGTGGCCCCCTGGAGCCTGCGGAGGGCACTCGGCCCCAGGACACCTGGACTGTGGATTCCGGGCTTCAGAACGGGGGAGAGTGAATCCTGTTAGAAGCCCCCCACCAATGCCCCCAGGTGTAGTCCTTTGCTACAGCAGCCCCGGTGTCCACGGCGACCCAGGGGTCAGAGGCCGTCCACTCAGAGACTGCCCAGCAGGGTCACCCGGAGCAGAGGGAGGCCGGCCAGGAAACAGGGGTCCTCTCCTGGCGAGCAGGCAGGGAAACGCTGGCTGCCCCGGCCATGGGCACTTCCTGCTGGTGCTTCTGAGAGGGCCTGCCCAAGGGACCTCGGGCCTGTGACCGCAGAGCGTGTTCTCAGGCCACGTCCAGTCAGTTTCCAGGAAGGAGGTTCCATAGGCCACCTCACAAACAAAGGGCAACAAGCCACCGCTGGCCTGCGCAGTGGCGTCAGGCGGCGTGGGAGGGACACCGAACCCTGGGACACAGCTTTCCCCATCAAGGCCACTGAAGGGACTGGGGAGGAGCCCGCCCACCAGCACAGAGCCCACCCCTCCCCCAGGACCCCTGCACCTAGGTGCCGGGTGGGCTCAGGCTTGTAACTGCAGAAGTGGGAAGTCACTCTTCTCGAGGTGGGGAACCCGGAGGGGCTCTGACTCAGCCGGGAACGCGCGCCCGCTAGGCCTGCTCCCGAGGCCCGCGAGCCAAGGACACCGGGCAGCAGCTGGGCTCACGAGTGCTGGTCCCTGCTGTAGTCATGACCGTGCACCCCAGCGCCAGGGACCCCCACGCACACCCCATCGTGGTTACTGAGGCACACCTTCCCCAGTGGGGGCTCCGTCCCCACACAAATCATCACCGAACTCCCTCCTACTCCAGCACCGTGCCCATGCCCCATGGCCCAGGAGCACAGCAAATGTCATATCACATCACATCACATCACATCATATCACATCACATCACATCACATCACATCATACCATATCATATCACATCACATCACATCATATCACATCACATCACATCATATTATATCACATCACATCATATCATATCACATCACATCACATCACATCATATCACATCACATCACATCATATTATATCACATCACATCACATCACATCACATCATACCATATCACATCACATCACATCACATCATATCACATCACATCACATCACATCACATCACATCATACCATATCACATCACATCACATCACATCATATCACATCACATCACATCATATCACATCACATCACATCACATCACATCATATCAAAACATCATATCACATCACATCACATCATATCACATCACATCACATCACATCACATATCACATCACATCATATCATATCACATCACATCACATCACACCACATCACATCACATCACATCATATCATATCATATCATACCACATCACATCACATCACATCATATCACAACATCATATCAAATCACATCACATCACACCACATCACATCATATCACATCATATCATACCATATCACATCACACCACATCACATCACATCATATCATATCATACCACATCACATCACATCACATCACATCATATCACAACATCATATCACATCACATCACATCACACCACATCACATCACATCACATCATATCACAACATCATATCAAATCACATCACATCACACCACATCACATCATATCACATCATATCATACCATATCACATCACATCACATCACACCACATCATATCATATCACATCATATCATACCATATCACATCACACCACATCACATCACATCATATCACAACATCATATCACATCACATCACATCACATCACATCACATCATATATCACATCACATCACATCACATCATATCACATCACATCATGTCATATCACATCATAAAGATGCCCAAACTCCCAAATATGACTCAAAAGCAATGTCCTCACACCAAGTTACTGCCGCCGCAGAGACAGTCGGGTGGTTCCTCCAAAAAGCACAGAGAATGACTGTGTGGCCCAGCAATGCCACCCCGGTGGGCGTCCAGAAGAACCGTTAGCAGGTTAACTGTTAACGTGCACACACGTGTTTGTACAGCACTATTCACAATAGCCAAGAGGGGGGCACAGCGCAGCGTCCATCGATGGGTGAGCAGAAAAACCACGTGTGGCCCGCACACACGACGGAACATGACTCGGCCTTGAAAAGGAAGGAACTCCTGACTCCGGCTGCAACGTGAATGACCTTGGGGACATCGTGCTGAGTGGAGGAGCCCGTCGCAGGACACATTCTGCAGGATTCCACTCATGAGATCCCTAGAGCAGCCGGACCCAGAGAGAAAGACATTGTGGTTTTGATGGCTAATGTCTGAATTAGGGTCTTTGGCACATTTTTCTTTCTTTTTTTTTAAGTATGTTTTTATTGATTTTTTAGAAAGAGAGGAAGGGAGAGAGAGATAGACACATCGATGTGAGAGAGATACATCGACCGGCTGCTTTCTGTACATTCCCCACTGGGGATCGAACCTGCAACTCGGGCATGTGCCCTGACCAGGGATTGAACCGGGACCTCTCAGGGGGGCCTTTTGCACATTCTTCAAGCCTCATTGACATGTTACTGCCTGGAAATGTTGACCTCTGCGTGGGTCCTGGGCTGGGCTGGTGGTTGTGTTTTCTCGATTCTGGCTGTGCCTGGAATTCTAACGATGCCAGACGTTGCAGTCACCTTCTTGGACTCAGGATAACATTGTATCCCTAAAAATATTTTTGACCTTGTCCTGGGAAACTGTTTCGCCGGCTTGAAACAATTCCTTTTATTGTTTCTGGTCTGGCAGGAGCGAGCTTGTGGGAGGTCAAGGGCAAAGCCAATGCTCTGGGAGGCTGGTCCCAGCTCGGAGCAAAGACCAGTAACGGGGACTCGAGAGAGGGTGAAGGGTCCGTGAGACGCTGCGCAGTGAGAAATACACGGGGTGTGGGCAAGAGCAGGGCTACATTGTTCACATGGAGAAGAACACAGTAACTCGTAGGCAGTAATGTTACTGGGAAGGGGATCTGGCTGTGAGCCCATAGTGTGTGTGTGTGTGTGTGTGTGTGTGTGTGTGTGTGTCTGACTTCCGGCAGAGAAGATTTC